AGCAATGACATCTCCATGGAAACAAGCAGGTGACAGACCCCCCAACCAAAAAGTTACATAGTGCGTCTTTAAATGGTCCAAGAGTCAAAATAAGATTCAGTTTTAATAAATAAGATTTCAACAAGAAGATGTCTATGTTTTTATTTGGTCATTGATAATAAACTACTATGACATAAAGTTGGACTGTGTAACTTTTCGGTGGAGGGGTCTGCCTGTCACCTGCTTGTCTCCATGGAGATGTTATTGCTTTGCCCGGTATGTCCCACAGTATGGCATTAAACAGCTCTACTTTACATTTATTCAATTACAGGTGGTTTTATAGCTCAAAACTACGTAGAAAAACAGGGATTCTGACTGTGAGCGTTTATCTCCATGGAGACAAGGGATGAAGCCACCAGGTCAGATCTGTGGAGAGGTGACCCCCCCCCCATCATGTTTTCAGAGTATGTATAAGCAATAAATACATGATTGATAAGGTCTAAGTGAACAAACCATGCAAAGTTGTGACATCTCAATGGAGACAACCCAGTGGTGGACAACAACAACAAAAAAGTTACACAGTGCGCCTTTACGTTTTATATAAAAGTATTAGGTTTTGGGCCGTTGTGGGTTCTTAAAGCAGACCTATTCTGCAAAATTTGTCTTTCAGAGGTTTTATAGTTGTTTCATTTTCATTTACCCTGTTGAAGTTGTATCTAGAGAGTCTGTTTGAACCATCTTTACTCAGCTATTTTCAAGATGCATTATTGCCAATCGACCGCCACCAGCATATGCCCACTTTCTGTTCTTCGGTTTCATTTTTATCATTTACGATTCCACCTAGTGCCTCTACTCAATTCCATTTCTCTCTCCAGCGACTAGGTCAGGAATCGGAATACACTAGACGGTTCTCAAACACCCCAGAGTTCGGGCACCGGCCAATCAGCGAAGAGTCAGACATTCTGTGTTGGCATCGATTCCCGAGATCGAGGATTTAAAGCCTCAATAAAGAGAATGTTTGGTGAATTTTATCAAGGGGAAAGACGCTATTGCCCTTCTTCCTCTGAGATTTAGAGGTAACACTTTATAATAACTACACCTTATTTAGCCTTAATAAAGCATGAACAAAGACTTAATTAATAATGAACAAAGACTTAATTAATAATGATTCACGCTCAGTAACTACTTAATTAGTACCTTAATTAGCACTTGCACTTTGTTTGCCTGTGCTGTAAATAGTTACTCATAATTATTTCATACTTAATTACTCATGAACTAACCATTTGAGCATTTATTAATCATTAATAAGCTATGAGAGAATGATTTACTAATAATACAATGCAATGATAATTCAGGCAGTTGTTATCTGTTAGTTAAGTCTTTCTGGGAGCTTTTCTAAAGTGAAGACAAATTATCCTTTATTAAGCATTTACTAAACGTGAATCATTATTAATTAAGTCTTTGTTCATGCTTTATTAAGGCTAAATAATGTATAGTTATTATAAAGTGTTACCGATTTAGAAAAGCTTAATATACCAGTTAGAACCATTTTTACATACGTCACGACCAAAAAGCAGTGACTGGTTAATAAAAAAAAAAGTACCTGTCTATCATCGAGCGAACGAATCCTAATGCTGCGAGGTCAGACGGTTTCCACGAAGTGAAAGTGAGCTAGGATTCGTCAGCACTGCGTAATCATGAAAAGGAAGTTCTGAAGTTCACGGCGACGTCTCCTATAGGACAAGTCAGTACGCTTAAGTCGTTTTGGATAAATATTGTGATTTAAAACGTCCAAATTATAAGGTGATCCACGGGTGTCGCAGATTATAACTACAGGAGACACAAGCACAATAGGTCTTCTTTAATTAATTCATACATTTTGTCAAAAAGGACCGGTTGGTGGATGTACGATTTACTTGATTTCAGATTGAGGTGAAATCTGTGAGCTGGTGAATCCTGCTGGTGATGAACTTAAACACACAAAAAAAACGTACATTCTTTGGTCCGGATTAAAGAACCAACTGTAGCATATATTGTTTAAATGAGAGAAACGCTATTCTTTTCACCGATTTCTCTACAGACTTTATTATTACAAGATGACTCTGACTGCGTTCAAATCACCTCCTTAAGCACAAAATCGACGGTGTGAGCGCCTGAATTTGTAGTATTTAAAATGTTTCAAAAGCCTTTAAATATTTCTTGACATTACGCATAGTTAAAAGAAGATAATTTATGTTACTTGATCAAAAATTTTATAACAGACAGAACAGATAAGAACAGAATCAGAAATAAATATTTAACTTAAAGGTGCACTATGTAACTTTTTGGTTCGGGGCTCTATGGATATTATTATATTATATTATACATTTATTAAAATTACAGGTAGTTTTATAGCTCAAAATACCTAGAAAAAAAGCAAATCTGAGCTCTAATTTGGTCTGGTTTGCTATAAAGGTCTAATCTCATGCTGTTAAACCTTCCAGACAAAGACAATAACATGTCCACGGAGAAAAAGACAGGCTCTCCACTGGAAAAGCTACACAGTGCACCTTTAATACGGACAGTGATCTAAAATGAGACATTAAAAATCAGGACAAAGCCAGGATTAGAAAAAAAAAAAGATATATACGTGAATATAAGAGAAAATTTACAGGCTGATTTTGGTCTAGAACATCTCATAATATTTAAACTTTCATACAAACCTTTTTAAAGAATAAATATAACACAAAGCAATCTCTTCTGTAATAAGTTAACTGTGTTTTAAGGAAATAAGTGCCATTTTCCAAGTCCAAGTATCAATATCGGTATCTGTAAATGAAAAAGTTAGATCCCTGAAAAATCATTAGTTAAAATTGGGTCTAAACCAAGACTTAATCTGGTTTAAACTAGAAGAAAAAAGACCAAAGGGATTTCATAACAAACCCGGAAAAAAATGAATCAGGACTATAGATAAAACAAATCCTTGTCTGTATTTATGGTTTCAACTTCCGGTTAGATGGTGCCATTTCGAGGACGACTGACCATTCAAAACTTTTAATATATTCAGTCGGAGTGCCTCGGGTTTGTACCTTGCCCGCTTTTACATTTTCTAGAAAGGGTAACTTTTTGTTTAAAGTATAAGATTTTGTTTCGAAATTTTTCATCATTACGAAACCAGTCAAAAACTAAAGAACTAAAGATTAGAACCGGATTGTTTTTTCAGTTCCAGTCTGTTATAATGCAGTCTTATTTACTGATATAGAGTGGTTAGGGAGATGATTTTACACCGTCTTTGTATCTTATTGTGCTGTGGTTGATTAGAGTAAGAACCTCCATGAAAATCCTCATCTAAGGCTTGATTTTCAAAGAGAGTAAATGGACACAGTTAAAGGGCCTGTACCAGATTTTTCCCCGTGTATTTGAGCAAAAATAACCTTGATTAAGCACAGATATGTGGTATAAGCAGCTCTTGAGTTCAAAGTAAGTCCGTGTTTGTGCTGTCTGCATCTAATTATAAAGTCAGGAAGTGCATGTTAGCATTGTAGTTGGTGTTACCGTCATGGCAAAACTCTGCGCTGGTCTCTGAGAGTTGTGGTGACTAATGAAGATGCTCTGAATGCATAAAGTACAGTATTTTTCGGACTATAAGGTGCACTTAAAATCCTCTAATTTTCTCAAAAATAGACAGTGTGCCTTATAATTTTGTATTTATAAAGTATTTATAAATATTAAATTTTTATTTTATTTTGGAGATTATAGTTGTGATGAGCAATGTAAAATAATTGCCTTTATGTATCTGCTGATTACAGAATAATAATGCAATTTATCCTTTATCCTGTGTGAAGGAGAGGTTTCGCAGGTCTTTCCTTCCTGCTGCTGTCAGACTTTACAACAAACACTGCTAACACTGAACATGTACCAGTCAATCATAACCATGTGCAATTATTTTTAAGTCTATTTTTAAATTATTTTAAGCTATTATTTATTATCTGTGTTACCTTTTCCTGCTGTTCTGAAATTGTGCGTTGCAACACTGGAATTTCCCCACTGTGGGACTAATAAAGGCATATCTTATCTTATCTTATCTTTATGGAAAGATCCGAATAAACGTATCATAAATAAATAATCCGGTGGGCCTTATGCATTAATTCTGGCTGTGCTTTTACTGACCTCGAACCGATTTTTTTGTGGTACACGGCGCTCAAAAATCTGGCAAAATCTTTTTGTACAACTTTGGTAAACTACAAAGCCGCACCGCTTGACGAACTGTCGGAGAATTACGGCGACCGTTGGCAAGAGCCTCACGGAGTCCGACAGAAGCTGAATCACATCAGCGCACAAGGAGCAAGCTGTTTTTTCAGCGCTTATAGTTTATGCAAATTAGTCATATGGTTCTAAGTTTAGTTTCTGTAAAACATAAACAAATCTGGACAAACCTGAATTAAACACAGTATCACTCAATGTATATTTGAGTCCTCCTCGTAGGATTTAAAAAAACAAAGCCCACCCACCGCGAATTACGCCACAATCTGCCAGTGGATCGTGGACACCTGGCCAAGGGATCAGTCTCAAATGTCGTCCATTTGTTGTTTCGTTTAATGCGGTAACACTTTATAATAACTACACCTTATTTAGCCTTAATAAAGCATGAACAAAGGCTTAATTAATAATGAACAAAGACTTAATTAATAATGATTCATGCTTAGTAACTACTTAATTACTACCTTAATTAGCACTTGCACTTAATTTGCCTGTGCTGTAAATAGTTACTCATAATTATTTCATACTTAATTACTCATGGACTAACCATTTGTGCATTTATTAATGATTAGTTAAGCTATGAGACAATATTTACTAATAATACAATGCGATGATCATTCAGGCAGCTGTTATTTGTTAGTTAAGTCTTTTTGAGAGCTTTTCTAAAGTGAAGACGAATTATGTTTTATTAAGCATTTACTAAGCGTGAATCATTATTAATTAAATCTTTGTTCATTATTAATTAAGTCTTTGTTCATGCTTTATTAAGGCTAAGGAAGGTGTAGTTATTATAAAGTGTTACCAATGCTTCTTATAATCCGGTGTGCCTTACGTATGAAAATAAACGAGAGAATTCAACATTACTGATATTGCGCCTCATAGTCCGAAAAATACGGAATGTGAGGAATAACTTTGAACCACTGCAAACTGCTTAAAACACTGCTTATTTCTGTTTTTTACGTTTTTAAGACAGTAAAAATCAGGTACAGCGCCTTTAATCTTGTATCTTATCTGTATCGTATCCTAAACCTCTACAGTTGGGTTGGTCCTCTGCTGCGTGGCTCTGTGCTGCCAGGAGGGGGCGCCGACACGAGGCTGCGGAGGAACACTCGGGGGTGCTTCCTGCGTCCTTGCCCCGGGGCAGATCCTGGCGGAGGAGGAGGTGGAGCCATTGCTGACGACGACGACGTAGCTGTAGGCGGTTTTAACGTCGACATTAAAGGCTGTAACTCGTGCGAGCTCTCGTCTTCCTCTTCTTCTTTGGGGCTCTTCTCTGGAAACAAAAACGAACCTTGCACTAACTGCGTATTCGAGGTACTGAAAAAGCTGGAGCTACTGGAGGGGGTGTAGGAGGCAGGGCGGGAGGCTCCGATCCGGGAGAGGGCGCTGATCCTGGGGTGCACGGCGTCGGCGGCAGCAGCAGGGGGCGCCGGCGGGGAGGAGATGCTCTCGAGGGAGGAGATGCTCTGGTTCCAGGCTTGTTGGAGGTCCACAGGGATGATCTTGGTGGCCTCCACGGAGACGCAGGGCGGAGGGGACCCTATGCCGCCTTTCCAGGGAAGAGGGGTGTCCACGCTCGGGGGCGGGAGGGTGGGCTCGCCAGGGGACTGCTGGACACCTCTGTAGCTGCAGGGACTGAGGACAGAGACAGGAAGATGTTAGACTTAGACAAACATTATTAATCCATAAAGGAAAGTATTTGGACACAGTAGCTTTATACATTATGATAAAATAACAAAGAGCAAAAATATGTGGTAAGAAGAAAGTCAAAATAAGTCAACTGTTGTACCTGTCAAAAGTTTGGACACACAATTTTTTTCCCTTTCATTTTTACTCCTTTCTACATTTTAGATAAACATGGAAAACATCAAATATACGAAGCAAGAATTACCATATTTTTCGGACTATAAGGTGCACTTAAAATCCTTTAATTTTCTCAAAAATTGACAGTGCGCCTTTTCAGCTTTTCCAGGAAAGAGTCGAAGTAAAAGGCTGGAGACCAACTGGACGTCTTAAAGAAGATAAGTTTATTTACCATCAATAATACGGGCCCAGGGACTTGAAAAGTGAACATAGTGTGATTTCAAAAGTGAACATAGTGTGATCTTTGAGTCTTCGAGCCCCTTTTCTATGCTTCCAAAGAAGGAGATTTATAAAGCAAGTGTGAAGTTAGAAAGCAATATGCCACAATTTAGATAATGGTATGCTGGTGGAAGATAATGGTGTAAATACAGCTTTTGTTAGCCAATGTTAAACTGAGATGTACGTGGAAGATAAATTACTTAAATTTTCTTACACATTTTATAATCCAGTGCGCCTTTTGTATTAATTCTGGTTGTGCTTACTGACCTCGAACCTTTTATGTGGTACACGGCGCTCAAAAATCTGTCTAAATGTTTTAGTACGACTTTGGTAAACTACGAAGCCGCACCACTTGATGGATTGTCGGAGAATTACGGCTACTGTAGTCAAGAGCCTTGTGGAGTCTGACAGAAACTGACCGCATCAGCGCACAAGGAGCAAGCGTTTTTTTCAGCGCTTATAGTTTATGCAAATTAGCCATGTGGTTTTATGTTTCATTTCTGTAAAACGTAAACAAATGTGCGCAAAGCTGCATTAAACACATTATTACTCAATGTTTATTTGAGTCCTCCTCGTAGGAAATCAAAAAAACAAACTTAAATTCTCCACCCACATTCACATTCATAATCCACATTCACCAAGACAGGGAGGCACCGCCGGGCGAATTACGCCACGATCTGCCAATGAATCGTGGACGCCTGGACTAAGGATCAGTCTCAGGTGTCGTTCGTTTGTTTCGCTTAATATGCCTTATAATCCGGTGCACCTTATGTATGAAAAAAAATGAGAGAATTCAACATTATTGATATTGCGCCTTATAATCCGGTGCGCTTTATAGTCCGAAAAATATGGTATATAGCAAAGGAAAAAAATAACAATAATAAACTAAAACTAAATACTTTTTTGATTTTATATTCTAATCCTCACATTAACCACACTTTGCTTCAACAGTGCTGCAAACACTTGGTCTTCTCTCAGTAATCTTCTTGACGAAGTTTCCTGAAATGGTTTTCACTTCACAGATGTGCCACGCCAGAGTCAAAAAATGTCAAACGTGTAAACCAGGATTCAAAGCAAAGGGTGTCTAACAAAGGGAGTTTATTTTTTGTTTTGTTACACTTATAAACAATTATAAATCCTGACCTGATTTGGGTCTTGGTTTCGGGGTCTCGACTTTTCGTGCCACAAACGTGATTCCCTCGTCCTCCTCTTTCTCCGAGGGTTCTCCTTTATCGTCTTCAGAGTCCACAGGCACCAGCACCGGCTCTGTCACACACAAACACACACACAAACACACGCACACACAAACACACACACACAAACACACATATCACAAGGTTAATATGTGTGTATGCATCTGATATCAAACACATGAAACAAACACAGAGTTCACAGAAACCAGCACCGGCTTGACAAGACACATTTGATTGTAACACATTTGATTCTTTGATGAACAGAATAATTAAACTTTTGTATTTGAATATAAATTAAATGCACAAATTATACAGTTTTTACAACAAACTGTATGTTTCTGCCAAATAAAGATTTTTTTTTAATGTAAAGTAGAATACCATAGATGAGTACATAGCTCTGGATTCATACTGGATTACTAATATTCTTAGTCCTGTTTTTTTTTTTTTTTTTTTTGCCTGAGATCCAGAATAGACACTTCTGAAATGCTTAATTTGAGTCTGGTTGCTGGTGAATCTTGCAGAGTTCAGATGAGCTTGATTGATAGATGGATTAACCCAGGGGTGTCAAACTCATTTTGGTCCGGGGACCGTATCCAACCTACTTTGATCCCAAAGGGGCCGGGAAAAAAAAAAAAAAAAGCCATATATACCCCAAAAATAGAAATAAGTTCAAATATTTGTGCAGAGAAATGCAAATCTATTACAGAAATCTTTTTTAATTGATAAACTCTTTCTTTTACAAAATATTATAATATTATGAACAACCTGAAACTTTAAGAAAAATGCAATTTCAACACAATGTTTTAACATGAACTTGTATGTAAATAGGAATAAGTCAATTTTTCTTGGAAAATCCTGCACTCGGCTCCACTTTTCTAATTTTTGAGATTTTGCTGATGAGGGTGTCACGGTCAACAGTCAAAACGATCGTCCTTTAACCCTCTCCAGGCAGGTGTTGCAGATTTGCAACAGCTAAATTCCAAGTACCTACTTACTCCACATCTATATTATATGAGCCTTTTTTTACTCAGGAGCCTTTTCTCCCATCCATGCTGATAAACGTGGACGATGCAGACTGTGCAAGAATGACTACACACAAAAGGCCTGCCAGAAGTGCAAAATACTTTTTTTGTTTACAAAGGATAAAAAAGTCAGAATTGTATATTACTACCCCATATTATAATTTTCCCCAAATATCAGATTTTTCCTGATATTAAAAATTAATTTGAGCCTGAGAGGGTTAAGAGCGTTTGGAAAGAGACAAGTCTTCATTTGTGCTGCTCTGGTGGGAGGGGCCACGTACAAAGACACTAGAGACACTGCTCTGCTAAGCACCGCAGAAAATTACCAATATTTTAATAGAAACTATAATTAAAATATTTTAGTAGAAAATCAGCCGAGAGCCAGATGAAAGGTCTTGGAGGGCCGGATCCGGCCCCCGGGCCGTATGTTTGACGCCCCTTGATTAACCAATCAGGGACACACATGGTCAATCCATATCAAAACAAACCTGGCTGCTCAATGAACGAAGCACTAAACTCTGTTCATCTGAGGTTAGATAAATTAAAATTAGTTTGTCAGTGATAGAATAAACCTGAATAAATCTGATTGGACAATCATGTTTGACCCAAGTATGAGATGCAACAGAGGGAGTTGATATCCCTCTGTCCTCATGTAGTGGTAGTTTTCAAGTTAACACTTCCTTTTACCTTTTATGGAATAGAAACGGGCAATTCCAGGGCTGGTATTATCGAAATTATTCTAGAGAAAGTGTATGGAGTTTAAAACCACAGTGGAGCACTTCCTGTATTATCACATGACATCACAAGGTGGAACAGAGTGTTTCCAGTTTGAGAGAAGAACACAACCTAAATACACTGAGTCTGTGTGTTAAACGTGTTTGAATGATTAGAAGATATTGTAATACGGCCCTTCAAATCTAGAATTAGTTTCCAGTTTTTCCGGGTTTAGTCTGAGAAACAATTAAAACTCCAAACTACAGAATTACATGAAAAATCTCGTCCAAATCACAGCCTCAGTAATATTACATTTGTCCTGGATCCTGCCCATGACGTGATCCTCTTCTCCCTGTAATCCTGTGTACTGACTCTCTCTTACCCCTGTGTTTGAGTTACCTTTGTCGTGCCAGCTGACGTTGCGTCTGGGTTTCTCTGAGCTCTCCTCCTTCGCATCGGATCCACGTCGCTGTGAACGAGAAGCATAAATAAACTCTGAGCGTGCAGACATAACAGGAACAAAATCAGGCTTTAATTGGCAAAGCTTTACATCGCCAATAGCAACCAGAGGAGATAGAGTTTCTGCAGTGAGAGGTCAGAAAAACACGGTGTCAGTTTGCTTCCAGGCTTCCTGCTTTACTGGGAATGTTCCAGAGAAAGGCATTAAACTCATCTGTCTACAGGGGAGCGAGCAAGTGATCAGAATATGGTGGAGATAAGTCTGCACAACACATCAGAGTTACCAACTGAGCTGATCACATGTACAAACTATGGCACTTTTTCATGCCTAGTAAAACAGTGGCTCCTCTCAAACCAAACCTGCGCCCATAATGTGACTGATGAGAGTCTGGAGAGAGTGTGATTTTTCTGGAGTGAATGAATTGAATGATGCTTTTGATAAGGATGATGTTTTTAAGATGCGGAGAGAACTGGGTGTGAATGATGTTACAGAATTGTTATGATGCGCTGGGCATTATAAAGAATTTCTCTTTATATGTTTGATTTTATGAACTATAACATCAACCTGCCCTGGGACGACAGGTGGAAATTAGCTCTGGGGTTAAACCTTGTTAATGTATATTGTGCACTGTCCCTGTCTCATGAAATAAATACACTAAACTAATCAGTATCTCAATATTGACAAGGGCAATGATCCATATCACAAAAGAATAACGAGGAATGAATTTAAACATGAAGCAGCACCGTGTAGATGACCACCTGATGACATCATGATGTGTTATGGGGACAAAATATGCAGAATTACTCAAACATCTCTCTGTGTATGTTTTTAAGAGTAAACTTTGTTAATTATACAAAATATATGTTTTTAACCATTTGAAGTAATCAACAGAATTTGGAAATCTATTAATATCTATATATACTGATATAGTTCTCAACACATTTTGTTAAGGTGTAGAACTGTGAACACCTTATAAACCTCATCACTCCACAGGAGGACATGACCTTTGACCTTTCCTCACCTCCACTTTGTCCACTTGACTTTGACCAACAGGTCTGCTCTGGAGTCTGTCCTCAACCAACAATTATCTGACTTTTCAAAGTAAAACCAAAGTAAAGTATTTGAATCAGAATCAGAATTGCAATTCCTCTAAATGTTTGATTTTATGAAAGACAACTTCAGGCTGCCCCGAGTCTACAGTGTTGTAATCTGATACAATGCTTCTCATGTGCTTCATGTTGTACTGTCCCTGTTTCATTAAATAACTGAACTAAACCAAAGCAGAACACGGTGGTGTGGGGCGACTCTGGGTCTATTGACTCAAGGAAATGATCACAACATAACTGTGCTCTGCTGCCCTCTGCTGGTCGTATGGCACGTTTCTAAATAGAACCAGGGAAGAAATGTTGAAAACCATTAAAAAATGTTTCAGTTGTGAAAACCCAATATATACAGAGTTGAGATTGATTTTAAAACTCTGTCCCTTTAAGAACACAAGTGTTTGGTTTGTGAACATCACCTTACACACATCTGTTCACTAAAGGTCATGCACTTTGACCTTTCATGATCTGTGAACCTTCTCCACTTAACTTAAAGCCTTGTTTTTCAAAACGCTGAAGCAAAAATGACAAAAAGCTTCTCTGTCAGAAAAGGACCACACAAAGAGAATGAGATTGTGAATAATTAGGATGGTCTGAATGCGTAAGGTAAGTGAGGAATAACTTTGGACCACTACAAACTTTTCACGGTTTAAGAGAGTAAAAATCCAGCTCCTTTAACGTCTCTGGTCCGTACCTTCTTTATGCTGCGTTCCTTCTTGTGTCTCTTGTGTCTTGTGGACTTGGAGCTCTCCATTCGATATTTCATGTTTCTCTGGAAAACCTCTCGATCCTGACGCTCCTTCTCCCCCAGAGGCATGAAGTGACGGCTGTAGTGGGACTGGTACTGCACACAACGCACAAAATACAAATACTGTATTGCCTGGAATGTTTTACAGAATGGCATTAAACTTGCAATAACATCTCCATGGAAGTAGCAGCAAGTAGCGGTCTCCTGCACCAGTAAAGTTGCAATTACACGGTTTTCAGATCTGTGTCATAATTTTTTTCCTCATCACAAACAGACCCGGAGTTGTGTTTTGTTTCATTCACACATGTTTAACTCACAAATCCTGCAAATTTAGGTTAGTTTAGTTCTTCTCTCAAACTGAAAACACTCTATTCCACCTTGTGATGTCACGTGATAATACAGGACTTCATTAGAATCATCTGGATTATTTCAACCCTGGAATTTCCAATCTCTACTAAGCCAAAGGTAAGTAAGTAAGTCTTTATTTATATAGCGCTTTTCACAGACATATGTCACAAAGACACTTTACAGATCATTTTTCATAGATTCATTATTCTTTTTTCTCTATACCCGGTGGTGGTAAACTACTATTGTAGCTACAGCTGCCCTGGGGTAGACTGACGGAAGCGTGGCTGCCATGCCAATCGGCGCCATCGGATCCTCCAACCACCACCATCACTCACACACCACTTTCATACTAGGCAATGTGGGTGAAGTGTCTTGCCCAAGGACACAATGACTGGCGCCCCAGTCACAAAAAACGGACGTAAAAGGAGCTGTTAACCTGAACATTAGCAATTCATGTTTAAATAAGAACCTGTAACTCCAGACTTGTGTTATATTGTTTTGATTTGTATTGTTTTTTGTATGTTTTGAAATGGTTTCTTAAAATCAACAAAAACATCCATCCATTCATTTTCGTCCTCTTATCCGGGGCCGGGTCATGAGGGCACCAGTCTAAGCAGGGGCTCTCAGACTTCCTTCACCCCGAACTTTTCCTCCAGGTCCTCCAGGGGGACCCGAGGTGTTCCCAGGAATGCCCAGAGACATAGTCCCTCCAGCGTGTCCTGGGTCTTCTCCTGGGCCTCCTTCCCAGAACACCTCCCAGATGCCGGAGCAGCGGCTCTACTCCAAGCTCCTCCCGTGTGACTGAGCTCCTCACCTTATCTCTAACGGTGCGCACAGTCACCCTACGGAGGAAACTCATTTTGGCCGCTTGTATCTGTGATCTTGTCCAAAAAAAAAATGAAAACCGTGACATGACAAAGTGGAACAGAGCATTTTGAGCTTTGGAGATGTAAACAGGATTTCTTCAACATGTGTGAATGAAACAAAACATAGCTCCAGGTCTGTTTTTGAGGAGGTAATAACATTATAACAGGCCTTAAAAGAGTCAGTCTTGTGCAAAAAAGCTTGGGGACAGTGATCCACAAGCATTTTTGCACCACGGGCAGATGGTGGTTTATGTCTGACAATATTTCACAGACCAAAGCGTGAGGGAGCCAGGAGGAAGCGTGGTATGATTTAGTCCTGGTTAAATTCTGTTTTGGTTCTGGTTTAGTGTTGGTTTAGACCTGGTTTATTCCTGGTTTTAGACGTGGTTTATTCCTTGGTTTTACCTGGTTTAGTCCTGGTTTTAGACCTGGTTTTAGTCCTGGTTTTAGACCTGGTTTAGTCCTGGTTTTAGACCTGGTTTTTAGTTTAGTCCTGGTTTAGTGGTTTAGACTGGTTTAGACCTGGTTTTAGACCTGGTTTAGTCCTGGTTTTAGACCTGGTTTATGGTTTAGACCTGGTTTGTTTATTCTGGTTTATTCCTGGTTTTAGACCTGGTTTAGTTTATCCTGGTTTTAGACCTGGTTTTAGTCCTAGTTTAGACTGGTTTAGTCTGGTTTTAGACCTGTTTTGTTTAGTCCTGGTTTTAGACCTGGTTTTAGACCTGGTTTATTGATTTAGTCCTGGTTTTAGACCTGGTTTATTCCTGGTTTTAGACCTTTAGTCCTGGTTTTAGACCTGGTTTTAGACCTGGTTTAGTCCTAGTTTAGACCTGTTTTAGTCCTGGTTTTAGACCTGGTTTAGTCCTGGTTTTAGACCTGGTTTAGTCCTAGTTTAGACCTGGTTTAGTTGTGGTTTTAGACCTGGTTTAGACCTGGTTTTAGACCTGGTTTTAGACTTGATTTAGTCCTGGTTTAGACCTGGTTTAGTCCTAGTTTAGACCTGGTTTTAGACCTGGTTTTAGACTTGATTTAGTCCTGGTTTAGACCTGGTTTAATCCTGGTTTTAGAACTGGTTTTAGTTCTGGTTTAGAGACACGACCTGCGTGGGATTCGTGGCCTGGTATTGGTCCATGGCTCGGGGGTTGGGGACCCCTGATGGTTGTCAAAAAACAAAGAAACAAACAAAAAACTGATACTGAAACCGAGACTTGTGGAAATAAGATCTTGTGATGCTTTATAAAATAATATCTGAGACGGGACGGGGTGAATATGTGGAGAAAGTTGAGCTCTGAGACATGCACTTTGTACCCGTCAATTATTTCTGAAATAAAACTGTCCAAACCTAAATGGACCATTGCAAGCTGAAATATTTTTGAATCATACTGTGAGAAAATTGAAAATAAGAAACCCAAATTCTCACTGGAGTAACATAATTCTCTTCTGTGTTTTTAGCAAAGCAGTAAAGTCACAAATATATCTTTTACACATGAGAACAGAAACCTGACTGTGCATTTTAAAACAGATTTAAAGTACATTTAAAGTACTTTCTGGACCATTGAAAGTTTCCCAAAATAAAGCTATTTCCAACAACGAGGCCTTAAACACAAAAGAGCAGTGTGAAGGTAAAATGTCCTGGAGTCTGAAAACATCTAAACTTACGGAAAAGTTAAAAAGAGACAAACATCTGACCACACGGATCCAGCGGTGAAACTAAAACGGTGAGATGGATTTGAAGGAAGCCAGGAGTTATAACTGGCCAGAGTAAACCAGGACTGAACCAGGACTAAACCAGGACTGAACCAGGACTAAACCAGGACTGAACCAGGACTGAACCAGGACTAAACCAGGACTGAATCAGGACTGAACCAGGACTGAACCAGGACTAAACCAGGACTGAATCGGGACTGAACCAGGACTGAACAGGACTAAACCAGGACTGAGGACTGAACCAGGACTGAACCAGGACTGAACCAGGACTGAACAGGACTGAACCAGGACTAAACCAGGACTGAATCAGGACTGAACCAGGACTGAACCAGGACTAAACCAGGACTGAATCAGGACTGAACCAGGACTGAACCAGGACTGAACCAGGACTAAACCAGGACTGAATCGGGACTGAACCAGGACTGAACCAGGACTAAACCAGGACTGAATCGGGACTGAACCAGGACTGAACCAGGACTGAACCAGGACTGAATCAGGACTGAACCAGGACTGAACCAGGACTGAACAGGACTGAACCAGGACTGAACCAGGACTAAACCAGGACTGAATCAGGACTGAACCAGGACTGAACCAGGACTAAACCAGGACTCAGGACTGAACCAGGACTGAACCAGGACTAAACCAGGACTGAACCAGGACTGAACCAGGACTGAACAGGACTAAACCAGGACTGAATCGAACCAGGACTGAACCAGGACTGAACCAGGACTAAACCAGGACTGAATCAGGACTGAACCAGGACTGAACCAGGACTGAACCAGGACTGAACCAGGACTGAACCAGGACTAAACCAGGACTGAATCAGGACTGAATCAGGACTGAACCAGGACTGAACCAGGACTGAACCAGGACTGAATCAGGACTGAACCAGGACTGAACCAGGACTAGATCAGGTCTATATTTACAGTAGTACTGTAATCACTCGTCTGCCTGGTTTGTGCAGGTTTCTAGCCAGGACTAAACCAGTACTTAACCAGGACTGAACCAGGACTAAACCAGGATTAAACCAACACTTTACCAGGACTAAATCAGAACTAAACCAGGACTACAACTGGACTAAACCAGGACTTAACCAAGACTGAACCACAACTGAACCAGGACTAAACCAGGATTAAACCAACACTGTACCAGGACTAAATCAGAACTAAACCAGGACTACAACTGGACTAAACCAGGACTTAACCAAGACTGAACCACAACTGAACCAGGACTAAACCAGGGCTAAATGAGAACAAACTAGGACTAAACCTGGACTGAACCAGGATTAAACCGGGACTGAATAAGGGCTAAACTAGGATTGAACTAAGACTGAACTAGGACTGAATTAGGACTTAACCAGGACTGAACCAGGACTGAACCAGGACTAAACAAGGACTACACCAAGACTAAACCAGCACTGTACCAGGACTAAGCCAGGACTAAACCAGGACTGAACTTGGACTAAACCAGGACTAAACCAGGACTGAATCAGGATTGAATCAGGACTAAAGAAGGATTAAACCAGGACTAAAGCAGGACTAAAGAAGTATTAAACCAGGACTAAACCAGGACTGAACTCGGACTAAACCAGGACTAAACCAGGACTAAAGAAGGATTAAACCAGGACTAAACCAGGACTAAAGAAGGATTAAACCAGGACTAAACCAGGACTGTACCAGGACTAAGCCAGGACTAAACCAGGACTGAACTTGGACTAAACCAGGACTAAACCAGGACTGAATCAGGATTGAATCAGGACTAAAGAAGGATTAAACCAGGACTAAAGCAGGACTAAAGAAGTATTAAACCAGGACTAAACCAGGACTGAACTCGGACTAAACCAGGACTAAAGAAGGATTAAACCAGGACTAAACCAGGACTACCAGACTAACCAGGACTAACCAGGACTAACAGGATTCAGGACTAACCAGGAAGGACTAAACCAGGACTAAACCAGGACTGAACTAAACCAGGACTAAAAGGATGAAGGATTAAACCAGGACTAAAGCAGGACTAAAGAAGTATTAAACCAGGACTAAACCAGGAACTCGGACTAAACCAGGACTAAACCAGGACTAAAGAAGGATTAAACCAGGACTAAACCAGGACTGTACCAGGACTGAACCAGGACTAAACCAGGACTTTATAAATAGGAGTACAGTATTCACCCGTCTGCGTGGTTTGTACAGGTTTCCGGCTAGAACGTGGTGAGTTTCTGTGTCCTCCTCCACTTTGGCTCCGGGGACGTTATCGATCACCTGCAGGTCCAGACACACACCGCTGCCGTTCTCTCGTCTGAAAAAAAAAACACAACTGTTTCGTTACATATTTATTTATCATTTTACTTTTAAAATACAGTTCCACAAATAAAACACAACCTTGCAACTTTTCTGGTGGAGGGTCCTTCACACTGTTGGGCAAGTTACTTTAAAACTATAATGTGTTATTTACGAGTTGTTACTGTCATTTCAAAATAATTTGTTAAATTATAATATTACTGTGTTTAAATATAAGACATTACACGACTGTTGCAGCACTTTAAGTTACTCTCAATGAAATAACTGTCGCTGATCGTCAAATAACAATCAGCGAGTGAAGATGCTGAACTTCTGCACCATATATGGACTGAATCAGGACTGAACCAGGGCTGAACCAGGACTAATCTTGGACTAGGACCTGGAATCTAGAAGGCAAGGCAAGGCAAGTTTATTTGTATAGCACAATTCGTACACAAAGTAATTCAAAGTGCTTTACAGAATAAGAAATACATTAAAATCATAATAAAAACAAATCAAAACATAAATAATCATGAAGATTAAAATTAAAAAAGAGAGACATAAATTGGAGAGAAGAGTGCGGAATGAAAACCTTTCAGTTATAATGCACAGTTAAACAGAAATGTTTTGAACCTGGATTTAAACAGCGTCACAGAAGAGTCTGTCTCACATGTTCAGACTGTTCCAGGTTTTAGCTGCATGAACCTGAAACTCTGACTCCCCTTGTTTAGTCGTGACTCTGGGCACCAGCAGGAGGCCGGTCCCTGAGCTCCTCAGAGTGTGAGATGGTTCATATGACATGATGATGGACTTTGGTGCTCGGCCATGGAGACACTTGTACAAGCAGAGCTGTTTTAAAGTCTATTCTCTGAGGCACAGGAGCCAGTGCAGAGACCTGAGCACCAGGACTTATGTGCTCGTACTTCCTAGTTCGAGTAAGGACCCGAGCTGCAGCGTTCTGGATGTTCTGGATGTTCTGGATGTTCTGGATGTTCTGCAGCGTCTCACAGCTCGTTTGGAGAGACCAGTGAGCAGAACATTACAGTATCTAATCTACTGGAGACAAACGCATGGATAAGTTTCTCCAAGTCTGATTTAGACAGTAAACCTTTGATTTTTGCTATGTTTTTTAGATGGTAAAAGGCTGCAGATGTTATTGATTTTATGTGACTGTTAAAGTTCAAGTCTGAGTCTGAGAACTGCCCCTGAGAGAACCTCGAGCCCGTGGACCAGGATTTCCACAAAGCGCGATCGGGCGTCAGCTGCGATTAGCCTTGTGGAGCTTCTGTGTTGGTCCTTTTGCCCGTGGTCACCTGACGGTCCACGTGGGCGCACCTCCGGGTCCGTACCGACATTCAGAACCGTAACGATGGCGTTTCACCGCTGCTGATATCGCAATGATTTTAGTGAATTTGTATGAAGAAAAACAAAAAACCCACCACTTCAGTCCAGGTTAAAAAAGCATTGTAACGCGCGTTACTGACATTTGAACTGAGTAAAATATTAATTTTTTTTTCCCTGTGATGCCACATTACTGCGTTATGTCAAAAAGCAACGCGTTACAGTAATTAATTACTTTTATAACGCGTATAACACATTTAATATCATAAAATTCCTTGTTTAAAAATGTTTGATCTTGTGGCATGAAACCTTTGTTTTAGTGGACGTTCTTATTGTCATCATTTTAATAATAATATGCAAACCTAAAGAGTACAGCATATACTTCAAAAGTAGATGAACTACTATAATTATTTTACTTACAGGTAGTTGGTGACGTTGGTGAACTCTGGGAATGAGGCTCTGGAGGCCATCGAGGGGAGAGAGAGACGAGCTGACGTCAAAACATTACCACCCTAAAAAAAACAAACAAAACAACATGAAAATAATTTAATATGACATAATATTTCTACACTTTTACTTTAACCTATGTATAATTTCACACTTGAGAACATCTTTAAATTACTTGTATGAATTCACTTTTTATAGGCATGTACTGCGTATTTACTCCCCAGTACTACACTGCAAAAAGTTATATAAGTTTAGAATATTTCACTTTATTTGAGTAGATTCAGTTCAGTTACTTACCGAAGGAATAAGTGTTTTTTCTTAAGTCAAGCAACACAAGATTTAGTTTCTCATTTTTAGTGCAATGAGTTGTTGTTTTGTGTAGCAAAAGATGTATTTTCATATTTTAAGTACCGTATTTTTCGGACTATAAGTCACACTTTTTTCATGGTTTGGGTGTTTCCTGCGACTTATATAATCAAATTTTCACACTGACGGCGCTCTAGTCTTGTGTGTCAGTATCTGCTGCTCCTGTTACGCCTGTACCACTGTCACTTCACTCTACTGCACATGTCTCCTGCAGAAAGAGCCTCTGTCCTGCTGCAAGTAGTGAAATATTCAGCAGAAAAAAGTAATTAAGCAGCAGAAAGGAAGTATGGAGTGAGCGAGAAACTTGTGAGGGACTGGTGGAAAGCCAGAATGGAGAACACAACTTCACAGTAACCAGGAGGGTGCACCATGAAACTTTCCTGGAAGTCACTGAATGAATCGACAAAGCCTGAACTTCAGTGACACCGAAACCATCCTGTCGGGATTCTGAAAGGCCGGAATAATTCTAACTGGAACTGATGCTGAGTCTGACGACAACTACACAGAAGAGGAAGCGGCGCTCCGTTTACCTCCGGAGGTCACGGAGTTGCTCAGAAGTGACACCGAGGATGAAGAATTGAATGGATTTAGTGATTTGGAGTGAGATGGAGAGTTTGGTAAACTTGTTCTGTTCTGTTGTTTATGTTATATTTATCTGAAGAACTGTTCATATGTGACGTTAACAGTCTGTTGTTCTCTGTTTTATTGTTAATTACCTTAACTTGCCTTTGATGAAGTGTCAGTTCCTGGTCTCTGCTTTTATAAAATTAATTTCCCCCAAAAAGTGCAACTTATATATGTTCTTTTCTTCTTCATTACGCATCTTTTGGCTGGTGTGACTTAGAGTCCGGAGCAACTTATAGTCCGAAAAATACGGTACTTACAAAAAGGGAATATTAACTTTGGTTTTCTGATTTATAAAGAACAAAGCAATGAAACATGTCTGTAAAACATAAGACTAAAATTAAGCAATTATTAAGGTTTTGAAAGAAATATTGGGTTTACACGATTATAGATTATATTTAAAAAGAAAGTTGGTCCCTTTTTTGTTTTCAAGCTGTTTGTTTAAAAGCTGTAAGGACAAAGCAATGAAAATGAGACACAGACAAAACATCACATCCAGAGCGACTTAAAATATGGTACAAAAACTCTCGTTCCATTAGTAGATCATTTTACTTGTCGGTTGAAATTCACTCCACTCGAGATACGTTTTCTTTATTCAGTCTATTTTAACTTGGCTAGAGTTCACAGTGCAAATATTCTCTGTCCCTCCTCTGTACCAAATATATTTCTTGTGTGGATTTACCTGGTCTATGACACTGATGGCGTCTCGGATGTTGATTTTCTGGTAGGCCTCCCACAGCTCGCTCTTCCTGTACACAGACTTCCTCAGCAGAAGTTTACTCAGGTAGTTCTTATCAAACTGCTCCCACCTCAACGACACAAGGACACAGGTTCAGTACGAAGAACAGGTTTAAGGTCTAGACCTGGTTTAGACCTGGTTTAGGCCTGGTTTAGACCTGGTTTGGACCTGGTTTAGACCTGGTTTAGGACCTGGTTTAGACCTGGTTTAGACCTGGTTTAGACCTGGTTTGCCTGGTTTAGGCCTGGTTTACCTGGTTTTTGGACCTGGTTTAGACCTGGTTTAGACCTGGTTTGGACCTGGTTTAGACCTGGTTTAGACCTGGTTTGGACCTGGTTTGTTTAGACCTGGTTTAGACCTGGTTTTGGTTTAGACCTGGTTTGGACCTGGACCTGGTTTAGACCTGGTTTGGACCTGGTTTGGACCTGGTTTAGACCTGGTTTAGACCTGGTTTGGACCTGGTTTAGACCTGGTTTGGACCTGGTTTACCTGGTTTGGACCTGGTTTGGACCTGGTTTGGACCTGGTTTGGACCTGGTTTGGACCTGGTTTGGACCTGGTTTTAGACCTGGTTTAGACCTGGTTTGGACCTGGTTTAGACCTGGTTTGGACCTGGTTTAGACCTGTTTAGACCTGGTTTGGACCTGGTTTGGACCTGGTTTAGACCTGGTTTGGACCTGGTTTAGACCTGGTTTGGACCTGGTTTAGACCTGGTTTTGGACCTGGTTTAGACCTGGTTTTGGGACCTGGTTGACCTGGTTTAGACCTGGTTTTGGACCTGGTTTGGACCTGGTTTAGACCTGGTTTAGACCTGGTTTTGGTTTAGACCTGGTTTAGACCTGGTTTAGACCTGGTTTAGACCTGGTTTAGACCTGGTTTAGACCTGGTTTAGACCTGGTTTAGACCTGGTTTAGACCTGGTTTAGACCTGGTTTGGACCTGGTTTAGACCTGGTTTAGACCTGGTTTAGACCTGGTTTAGACCTGGTTTAGACCTGGTTTAGACCTGGTTTAGACCGGTCTTAGACTTAAATTTAGACTGCAATGAATGAAATGAATGACTGTGACTAATTGAGTATTGAAAGTGCATTGAGTATCTTTTCTTGTGAAGCGTCCATCAAATACTTTTCTCCATGGAGATGTTTCACAGTATGGCATTAAACCTTTCAATTATCATGGAAACCAAACCAGACCAAGTTACGAGTCAGATCTGTGGAGAGGCGACACCGCTCACAGTCAGAATACCTGTTTTTCTTGGTATTTTTGAGCTATAAAACCACACGTAATTAAATAAATGTAAAGTAGAGCTGTTTAACGTCATACTGTGGAACATTACACAGCAATGACATCTCCATAGAAACGATAAGGTGACGGACCCTCCATCAGAAAAGTTACACAATGCACCTTTAAAGTAAATGTATTTTGTTAATCGTAACTGTTATCTGGACAAAACAAAATCAAAAACAGATGAAAAAAAAAAAGTTTTATCCCAAATATTGTGGCATTATTTAAATTCCAAGATTTAATATAATATTTGGGATTTTCATTTTTAAATATTAAAGCTTTCATTCACCACATTTCAAAGTTTTTTTTAAAGATCTCAGTGCAAAATAGAAATAATCGCTGAAGAGACAACTACTAAAATAAACTCCAACTTCCTTCAATATTCTACAAAACATTTGTTAGAGCTCCATCTAGTGGCTATTCATCTCTCCTGCAGTTATAATTTATTTAAATATTTTGAGTTTTTGTCCTTCAGTACTGACTTGTCTCTCCAGTGGTGATATCCCTGTAGTCCAGCGATGTCCTCCACGGCGGTCAGGATGTGGTCAAACGCCTGAAGACAGAATATGGACACTTGTATTTAATATTAAAGTTTATGATTTAATGTGATGAAATGTAATAATCATCATTAAAGACATAAACACTTTTAAAGTCTTTAGTTTTTTGCATAAATACATACAAATTATGTAAACAAATTATTCTGAACATACAGACAAGAAAACAGATACACAATATACACAGACTGATCATTTGAGTTCTTAAAAAACTGATAACATGTATAGTATATATATATATATATATATATATATATATATATATATATATATATATATATATATATATATATGAGCACTGTTGGGCAAGCTTACTTTAAAAGTGTAATGTGTTTATTTATGACTTGTTACTGACATTTCAGAGTAATTTGTTACATTATAATATTACCGTGTTTAAAATGTAAGACTTTACACGACTATTGCAGCACTTTAAGTTATTCTCACCAAAATAACTGTGAAGATGCTGAACTTTTGTACCGTATATGGACTAAACCAGGACTAACCAGGACTAAAACAGAACTGAACCAGGACTAAACCAGGACTAATCTTGGACTAGAACCTTGGCGTGATTGGGTGTCAGCTACGGTTAGCCCCATGGAGTGCAAGATATGGTCATTAATCTGCAATGTCCATAACAAATAATTAAACTAAATAGAATAAAATGTAAAAACAGTCTCTCACTCTCTCGTGGATCTCTTCGTTGATGGTTGGTTTTCGGCTTGTGGATCGCGGAACTTTGAGCCACTTCACCAAAGGTTTGATTGTCAGACCCTGAAAAACACCAAAAATATATAATATATAATTAGTTTATTTGGTGCAATAAGTTGTTATTATTATCCATCCTCACAGTTCATGTTTGTGCGTCAAAAAATATCCACTTGTCAGGATAACTACTATGTTGATGTATTGTTCAATATATGGAAGCTCAAGCTATATTTTATGATAAATATTTATATCAATATTTTTGATCAGTAGTTTTCATGTGTACTTTTTCTTTGCATTACTATATAGAGCAGGGGTGTCAAACATAAGGCCCTGGGGCCAGATCCGGCCCTCCAAGACCTTTAATCTGGCCCTCGGCTGATTTTCTACTAAAATATGTTAATTATATTTTCTATTAAAATATTGATAATTTTCTGTGGTGTTTATCACAGCAGCGTCTCTGTACGTGGCCCCTCCCACCAGAGCAGCACAAATGAAGACTTGTCTCTTTCCAAACGCTCTTAAAGGACGATCGTTTTGACTGTTGACCGTGACACCCTCATCAGAAAAATGTCCAAATGAGAAAAGTGGAGCTGAGTGCAGGATTTTCCAAGAAAAATTTACTTATTCCTATTTACATACAAATTCATGTTAAAACATTGTGTTGAAATTGCATTTTTTTTTAAGTTTCAGGTTGTTCATAATATTATAATATTTTGTAAAAGAAAGAGTTCATCAATTAAAAAAGATTTCTGTAATAGATTTGCATTTCTCTGCACAAATATTTGAATTTATTGTTATTTTTAGGGTTATATATGCCATGAGTTTTTTGATCCGGCCCTTTTGGGATCAAAATAGTTTGGATACGGCCCCCGGACCAAAATGAGTTTGACACCCCTGATGTAGAGGGTTGAATTTATAACTTCTATGACTTCGTTTAGATGCAAACTAAACACTAAACTAAGTACTAAAGTGTTTCTTACTGCTAATTATCTACTGAAGTTCATGTTTTTAGTTTTTAGTTTTAACAAAAATCTTACTTTTTTTTATTGTAATTGTTCATCATGAACTTAGAGGTTCTTAGACAAGCAGAAGTTGAAGTTTTCTCTTGCTTTCCTTTCCAGTCTGTTATTTTATGTGTTGTAGTTTGCGGTTGGTCGATTCTTGTCACAATTTGATTCTAATTAGATTTTTGTTAGGCCTTAAACTTAAAAAACTTGCTAAATAAACTTAAAATAATTAATAAAATAACACTATTAGCCTAGTGCTTTAATGTAGTCTACTAGTTCATGTGATGAGTCTAAAATTTATTGTATTGTCCTAATGTTTTTGGCTACAGCTCTGAATTTTTTATCATTGGAAAAAAAAAAAAAAAAAGTGTGAGATTAGATGTTGTTGCTTATTCAAACCACTAGGGGGAGTTATTGGACAATAGTTAATTTGAACAGACTCTCAATCGATATTCTAACAAATTAACAATATTCTATCTCACATACAAACGTTTAATGCCACACCACTTAAGTCAGATTAAAGCTGCACTATGTAACTTTTTGGTTGGGGGGTCCATCACCTGCTTGTTTCTATGGAGATGTCATTGCTCTGCCTGGAATGTTCCACAGTGTGACATTAAACAGCTCTACCTTACATTTATGCTTAAGCAGAATTAAACCAGGACTAAACCAGGACTAAATCAGAACTAAACCAGAAGTAAATCAGGACTAAACCAGAACTAAACAAGAACTGAACCAGGATTAAATCAAGACTGAACCAGAGCTAAACCAGAGCTAAACCAGAACTAAACCAGAACTAAACCAGGTCTAAACCAGAACTAAATGAGAACTGAAACAGGACTAAACCAGAAGTAAATCAGGACTAAACCAGAACTAAACAAGAACTGAACCAGGATTAAATCAAGACTGAACCAGAGCTAAACCAGAGCTAAACCAGAACTAAACCAGGTCTAAACCAGAACTAAATGAGAACTGAAACAGGACTAAACCAGGGCTAAACCAGAACTAAATCAGAACTAATTTGGCATTCTGACTGTGAGCAGGATCGCCTCTCCACAGATCTGACCTGGGACTTGGTCTGGTTTGGTCTCCATGACGACAGAAAACCATATTGTGACACAGAAAAGCTTTTGACGAACCCCACAGCAGAAAAGCGACACAACGCACCTTTTAGAAATAATCAGTAAAATAAAAATAAATAAAAATAATATAACATAAAAAAACAAAAACAAAAAAAACCAAATGCTCAGTAAGAGAAAAACAAAAACAAAAACAAACAAATTCATTATGTGAAGAGTTTAAACGTGATTTTGAGACATTAAAGACACACTGGTGCAGCCTGAGATACTTTGAGGCAATAATGTCCATAAACCTTTATCTCTGAGCCATAAACACACAGAGAATATTAAACGTGCTCCAATCAGAAACACGACAATAAAAGCGAGCAGCAGCAGCAGCAGGAGCAGGACCGCACCTGCCGCTGTCTGTTTATGAACGAGTGTGAGAGTCACTAAGACCTGAGGTAAACCAGGACTATCTGTTTATGAACGAGTGTGAGAGTCACTAAGACCTGAGGTAAACCAGGAAAAACACTGAATATAATATTTATGTGTGGAATCAAGGGTCCTCATACAGCTAACAAAATCAAGACTAAACCAGGACTAAACCAGGACTAAACCAAGACTAAACCAGGACTAAACCAGAACTAAACCAGAAACCAGGATAAACCAAGACTAAACCAAGACTAAAACCAGGACTAAACCAGGACTAAACCAAGACTAAACCAGGACTAAACCAGGACTAAACCAAACTAAACAGGACTAAACCAGGACTAAAACCAGACTAAACCAGGACTAAACCAGACTAAACCAGGACTAAACCAGGATTAAACCAGACTAAACCAAGACTAAACAGGACTAAACCAGACTAAACCAGGACTAAACCAGGACTAAACCAGGACTAAACAAGACTAAACCAGGACTAAACCAGGACTAAACCAGGACTAAACCAAGACTAAACCAGGACTAAACCAGGACTAAACCAGGACTAAACAAGACTAAACCAGGACTAAACCAGGATTAAACCAAGACTAAACCAGGACTAAACCAGACTAAACCAAGACTAAACCAAGACTAAACCAGGACTAAACCAAGGACTAAACCAGGACTAAACCAAGACTAAACCAAGACTAAACCAGGATTAAACCAGGACTAAACCAGGACTAAATCAGGACTAGACCAGGACTAAACCAGGACTAAACCAAGACTAAACCAGACTAAACCAGGACTAAACCAAGACTAAACCAGGACTAAACAAAGACTAAACCAAGACTAAACCAGGACTAAACCAGGATTAAATAAGACTAAACAGAACTAAACCAGAACTAAACCAGGATTAAATCAAGACTAACCAGAACTAAACAGAACTAAACCAGAACTAAACCAGAACTAAACCAGGATTAAATCAAGACTAAACCAGAACTAAACCAAGACTAAACCAGGACTAAACCAGGACTAAACCAGAACTAAACCAGGATTAAATCAAGACTAAACCAAGACTAAACCAGGACTAAACCAAGGACTAAACCAGGATTAAACCAGGACTAAACCAAGGACTAAACCAGAACTAAACCAGAACTAAACCAGGACTAAACCAGGACTAAACCAGGACTAAACCAGACTAAACCAGGACTAAACCAAGACTAAACCAGGACTAAACCAGGATAAACCAGGACTAAACCAGGATTAAACCAGGACTAAACCAGGACTAAACCAAGACTTAAACCAGGACTAAACCAGGACTAAACCAGACTAAACCAGACTAAACCAGGACTAAACCAGACTAAACCAAGACTAAACAGGACTAAACCAAGACTAAACCAGACTAAACCAGAACTAACCAGGATTAAACCAGGACTAAATCAGGACTAGACCAGGATTAAACTAGGATTAAACCAGGACTAAACCAGGACTAAACCAGAACTAAACCAGGATTAAACCAGGACTAAATCAGGACTAAACTAGGATTAAATCAGGAGTAGACCAGGACTAAACCAGGATTAAACTAGGATTAAACCAGGACTAAATCAGGATTAAACTAGGATTAAACCAGGACTAAACCAGAACTAAACCAGGATTAAACCAGGACTAGACCAGGACTAAACCAGAACTAAACCAGGATTAAACCAGGACTAGACCAGGACTAAACCAGGACTAAACCAGGATTAAACCAGGACTAGACCAGGACTAAACCAGGATTAAACCAGGACTAGACCAGGACTAAACCAGGACTAAACCAGAACTAAACCAGGATTAAACCAGGACTAGACCAGGACTAAACCAGGACTAAACCAGGATTAAACTAGGATTAAACCAGGACTAAACCAGGATTAAACCAGGACTAAACCAGAACTAAACCAGGATTAAACCAGGACTAGACCAGGACTAAACCAGGACTAAACTAGGATTAAACCAGGACTAAACCAGGATTAAACCAGGACTAAACCAGAACTAAACCAGGATTAAACCAGGACTACACCAGGACTAAACCAGGACTAAACCAGGACTAAACCAGGATTAAACTAGGACTACATCAGGATTAAACGAGGGCTAAACCAGAGTTAAACCAGGACTAATTTATATTTAAACCAGGACTAAACCAGGACTAAACCAGGACTAAATTTATATTTAAACCAGGACTAACCAGGACTAAACCAGGACAAATTTATATTTAAACCAGGACTAAACCAGGACTTTAAACAGGACTATTAAACAGGACTAAACCAGGACTAAACCAGACTAAACCAGGACTAATTTATATTTAAACCAGGACTAAACCAGGACTGATGTAGGACAAAACCAGGATTTACCAAGGACTAAACTAGATAAATCAGAACTAAACCAAGACTAAACCGAGGCAGAACTGGACCATACTCTGCATTGAACTTCAAATCAGCAGCTTCCTCCTTAAACCAAAAGATTTATGACGGCACATGGAGCGAGGGGGCGTGTCCGTGGTGACGGTTGCCGGGCGACAGGAGGACCATGGATTGGTGCTGCCCCCTGTGGGTTTTTCATTAAAATCGACACAGTTTAGGACTTGGATGGTCCAGTCTCCAGAGCCCTGACCCCGTGACCTCTGGACTGAGTCTGAGCAGAGAGGTCAAGGTCTAAACTAGGTCTAAACCAGAACTAAACCAGGACTAAACCAGGGCTAAACCAGGTCTAAACCAGAACTAAACCAGGACTAAACCAGGACTAAACCAAGATGTGGCTGGACTAGTCTTGAAAGCCTTGACCCCTGTGACCTCTGAGGTGTGTCTTTAATCCATGTTTGGTCCTGGTTTAAGACCGGTTTAGACCTGGTTTAGTCCTAGTTTAGTCCTGGTTTATTCCTGGTTTAGACCTGGTATTTAGTCCTGGTTTAGACCTGGTTTAGACCTGGTTTAGTCCTGGTTTAGTCCTTAGTTTAGTCCTGGTTTAGACCTGGTTTAGTCCTGGTTTAGTCCTTGGTTTAGTCCTGGTTTAGACCTAGTTTAGTCCTGGTTTTAGTCCTGGTTTTAGTCCTGGTTTAGTCCTGGTTTAGACCTAGTTTAGTCCTGGTTTATTCCTGGTTTAGACCTGGTTTAGTCCTGGTTTAGACCTGGTATTTAGACCTGGTTTAGACCTGGTTTAGTCCTGGTTTAGACCTGGTTTAGTCCTGGTTTAGACCTGGTATTTAGACCTGGTTTAGACCTGGTTTAGTCCTGGTTTAGTCCTTGGTTTAGTCCTGGTTTAGACCTAGTTTAGTCCTGGTTTTAGTCCTGGTTTAGTCCTGGTTTAGTCCTGGTTTAGACCTAGTTTAGTCCTGGTTTATTCCTGGTTTAGACCTGGTTTAGTCCTGGTTTAGACCTGGTATTTAGACCTGGTTTAGACCTGGTTTAGTCCTGGTTTTAGACCTGGTTTAGTCCTGGTTTAGACCTGGTATTTAGACCTGGTTTAGACCTGGTTTTAGTCCTGGTTTAGTCCTGGTTTAGTCCTGGTTTAGACCTAGTTTAGTCCTGGTTTAGTCCTGGTTTTAGTCCTGGTTTAAACCTACAAACGGTTTTAATATGAATAACATAATTCTGCATCATTTTGAGTAAAAAATAAAAAAAAAAAAATCTAATATTCCAGTTTTTTACTCTGCTGTCATCGTTCTGTTTGTACTGAAAGTGATTTTTTTTTATTTTTATAAACAGTCTGACACCTTTACCAGTATTTTGGCGCGTCAAGTTGAGTGTACGGCCAATTTTACTCGACAAATTATCAGACAAACAAAGTAGAAAATAAATCTGAAAACAAAATTGTCCGTTCGTTTGTGTTTATTTCTGACCTGAAACATGACGGTGAAGAAAACCACGACGATTGTTGTGGCCACGAAATAATCCTTGGCCTTGACTTGTTCTCCGTCCAACAGCACGACCAGAGCGAACGCCACCGCCCCCCTCAGGCCGCCGTACGACATCACCACCTGGTCGATCTTATCCAGAGGAACCAGACGAAACCGGTTCAACACCCACGTCTGTCCCACCACTCCTGGAAACGAAAGAAGAGAGAGGGAATTTTACTTTTAATTCAAAGGAATAAACAGGACTAAACCAGGACTCTAAACCAGGACTAAACCAGGACTAAACCAGGACTAAACCAGGATAAAACCAGGACTAAACTAGGACAAGAACCAGGACTAAACCAGGACTAAACCAGGACTAAACCAGGACTAAACCAGGACTAAACTAAGGACTAAAACCGGACTAAAAAGGACTAAACCAAGGACTAAACCAGGACTAAAAAGGACTAAACCAGGAAACTAGGAAAACCAGGACTAAACCAGGACTAAACCAGGACTAAACCAGGAGGACTAAACCAGGACAAAAACCAGGACTAAACCAGGAACTAAACCAGGACTAAAACCAGGACTAAACAGGACTAAACCAGGACTAAACCAAGGACTAAACCAGGACTAAACCAGGACTAAACCAGGACTAAACCAGGACTAAACCAGGACTAAACCAAGGACTAAACCAGGACTAAAACTAAACCAGGACTAAAACCAGGACTAAAGGACTAAACCAGGACTAAACCAGGACTAAACCAGGACTAAAAGGACTAAACCAGGACTAAACCACCAGGACTAAACCAGGACTAAACCAGGACTAAACCAGGACTAAACCAGGACTAAACCAGGACTAAACCAGGTCAGGACTAAACCAGGACTAAAAACCAGGACTAAACCAGGACTAAACTAAACCAGGACTAAACCAGGACTAAACCCAGGACTAAACCAGGACTAAACCAGGACTAACCAGGACTAAACCAAGGACTAAACCAGGAACTAAACTAAACCAGGACTAAAACCAGAACTGGACTAAACCAGGACTAAACCAGGACTAAACCAGGACTAAACCAGGACTAAACCAGGACTAAACTAGGACTAAACCAGGACTAACAAAGGTCTAAAAAAAGGCCTAAACCTAGTACTAGACTAGAAGTAAATCAGGGCTGAACTAAACTAAAACTGAACCAGGACTAAACCAGAGCTAAACTAGGAATAAATCAGGACTAAACCTGGACTAAGCCAAAGCTCAACAAGGACCAAACCAGGACCAAACCAGGATCAAGCCAGGAACACCCTGGGCTGAAAACCAGAGAAATACGAGGACATAACCAGGACCAAACCAGGACTAACAAAGGCCTAAACCTAGTGCTAGACCAGAAGTAAATCAGGACTGAACTAAACCAGGACTGAACCAGGACTAAACCAGGATTAAGCTAGGACCCACACAGGGCTGAAGAAGAGCTAAACCAGAGAAAAACCAGGACAAGAACCAGGGCCAAACCTAGTACTAGACTAGAAGTAAATCAGGGCTAAATTAAACTAGGACTGAACCAGGACTGAACCAAGACTGAACTAGGACTGAACTAGGACTATGCCAGGACCCACTCAGGGTTGAACAAGGGCAACCAGGACAGAAGCGGGACCAAACTAGGGCTAAAAGACATGACAGAACCAGAACTGAACCAGGACTAAACCAGGATCTACCCAGGGCTAAAGCAGAGAAAACCCAGGACAGAACCAGGACGAGGTTAAAACAGAGAGAGAAAAGATTATGGGGCCTGATGGAGCATCGTTTAACCTGCTCGGTATTTAATTTAACAAAACTCAAATGTCAAATCTCAGACAAATGCCACAGACCGAAGCTTTCTCTGCACCGGACATGACAGGAATACTGAAACAGGACGGGAATACTGAAACAGGACGGGAATACTGAAACATGACGGGAATACTGAAACATGACGGGAATACTGAAACACGACGGGAATACTGAAACATGACGGGAATAGTGAAACACGACATGAAACACGACGGGAATACTGAAACACGACATGAAACACGACGGGAATACTGAAACACGACGGGAATACTGAAACACAACGGGAAAACTGAAACACGACAGGAATACTGAAACATGACGGGAATACTGAAACACGACATGAAACACGACAGGAATACTGAAACACGACATGAAACACGACGGGAATACTGAAACACGACGGGAATACTGAAACACAACGGGAAAACTGAAACACGACAGGAATACTGAAACACGACAGGAATACTGAAACACGACAGGAATACTGAAACACGACGGGAATACTGAAACACGACATGAAACACGACGGGAATACTGAAACACGACATGAAACACGACGGGAATACTGAAACACGACAGGAATACTGAAACATGACGGGAATACTGAAACACGACATGAAACACGACGGGAATACTGAAACACGACATGAAACACGACGGGAATACTGAAACACGACGGGAATACTGAAACACAACGGGAAAACTGAAACATGACGGGAATACTGAAACATGACGGGAATACTGAAACATGACGGGAATACTGAAACACGAGGGGAATACTGAAACAGGACGGGAATACTGAAACACGAGGGGAATACTGAAACAGGACGGGAATACTGAAACACGAGGGGAATACTGAAACAGGACGGGAAAACTAAAACAAGACATGAAACACGACAGGAATACTGAAACACGACATGAAACACGACGGGAATACTGAAAGACGACGGGAATACTGAAACATGACGGGAATACTGAAACATGACGGGAATACTGAAACACGACGGGAATACTGAAAGACGACGGGAATACTGAAAAACGACGGGAATACTGAAAGACGACGGGAAAACTAAAACAAGACGGGAATACTGAAACATGACGGGAAAACTGAAACATGACAGGAATACTGAAACACTATAGGAATACTGAAAGACGATGGGAATACTGAAAGACGATGGGAATACTGAAAGACGACGGGAATACTGAAACATGACAGGAATACTGAGACGCGACAGGAATACTGAGACGCGACGGGAAAACAAACACGACAGGAATACTGAGACACGACGGGAATACTGAGACACGACGGGAATACTGAGACACGACGGGAATACTGAGACACGACGGGAATACTGAAACACGACGGGAATACTGAGACACGACGGGAATAGTGAGACACAAGAGCAATACTGAAACACAAGAGCAATACTGAAACACAATGGGAATACTGAAACGCGACGGGAATACTGAAACACGAGCAGCTACAAAGTCCAGGGAACTACGAAGACCGAGGATTTCAGTGTGTTTTATATTTAAAAACACCAAAAATCAATAATCAATAATAAACCAGGACCAAACCAGGACTAAACCAGGAATAAACCGGACTAAAATAAGACAAAATCAGGACCAAACCAAGACTAAGCCAAACCTAAACCAGAACTAAACCAGAAACAAATCAACACTAAATCATGACAAAACCAGGACCAAACCAAGACTAAACCAAGACTAAACCAGAACTAAACCAAGACTAAACCAGGCCTAAAACAGGACTTTTAAAACAGGACAAAACCAGAACAAAAATAAGACCTAAACCAGGACTCTATCAGGACTAAAGCGAGACTAAAACAAGAGAAAATCTAACCAACATCACAAAAAACAGAGTCAAACCAAGACTAAGTCAGGCAGGCCTAAACCAAAACTAAACCAGAACCAAACCAGGACTAAAACAGGACTTTTCAAACAGGACAAAACCAAAACAAAAAATAGGACCTAAACCAGGACTAAACCAAGACTAAACAGGACTCAAGCAGGATCAAATCAGAAGTAAACCAAGACTAAACCAGAACTAAAACAGGACTTTTCAAACAGAACAAAACCAGAACAAAAATAGGACTTAAAACAGAACTAAACCAGGATTAAACCCACACTAAAACCAAGACTAAATCAGGAGTAAACCAGGACCAAACCACAACCAAAACAGGACTATTACAAAACCAGGATTTTTCTAACAGAACAAAAGCAGAACAAAAACATGACCTAAACCAGGACTAAACCAAGACTAAAACTAAAATATTAAACTATTTGAAGAGTGACTGACCGACGGCCCTGAAGATGAAGATGAAGATGAGCGTGCAGGAGACCAGCCCCGTGTCCCAGGCCCACTTGGACTTGTCCACGGCGGAGATCCCCAGAAAGATGAAGATGATGGTCTCGGCGATACTGGCCAGAGTCTTCATCGTGTACTTCACCGTGGTGCGAGACTTCTGAGAGATGTTCGCCTCCACGTATTTGTTGGCGCCGATGCCACAGAACGTCATCCTGAGAGAGAAACGAGACTTTTATCAAATTAAATCGTTAAAGTTGAAATAGTTTTTTTTAGATTAGATGGGAATCTGTGTATCATTCGTTCATTCGTTTTTTGATATAAAACCAGAAGTTAGAAAACAAAAAAACGATTTTCTTCATTATTTGTCTCCAAAACCAAAATGAAAAAACTGATAATGATTTGTTTTTTCATTTTCGATTTCATGTTTAAATAAATAATGGCAAAAACAGATAAAGGTCGTTTCCTGTTTTCATCACTTAAACTAGAATGCCAAACTGAACCAGGACTGAACAGGACTGAACCAGGACTGAACCAGGACTGAACCAGGACTGAACCAGGACTGAACTGTTTTCAGTACTGGTCTGGTCTTGGTCTGGTACCGGTTTCAATCACGGTCTGGTCCTGGTCTGGTCCCGGTCTCAGTCCCGATCTGGTCCCAGTCCCAGTCTGGTCCTGGTCTAAGTCCCGGTCTCAGTCAGGGTCTGGTCCTGGTCTGGTCCCGATCTCAGTCCTGGTCCTGTTTTCGGTCTTAATCCTCATCTCAGTTTTGGTTTCAGTCCTGGGCTGATCCCAGTCTCAGTCCTGGTTTCAGTTCTGGTCTGGTCCTGGTCTGGTCCTAGTTTCAGTCCCGGCTTAAGTCCTGGTCTTAGTCCTGGTCTCAGTCCCAGTCTCAGTCCTGGTCTGGTCCCGGTCTGGTCAAGGTCTGGTCCCAGTCTGAGTCCTGGTCTGGTCTCAGTCCTGGGCTGATCCCAGTCTCGGTCCTGGTCTCAGTTCTGATCTAGTCCTGGTCTGGTCCCGGTCTGGTTTTGGTTTGGTCTCGGTCTCAGTCCCGGTCTTGTCCTGGTCTCAGTTTGGGTCCTGGTCACGGTCTGGTCCTGGGCTGAGTCCTGGTCTGGTCTCAGTCCTGGGCTGATCTCAGTCTCGGTCCTGGTCTCAGTCAGGGTCTGGTCCCGGTCTGGTCCCGGTCTCAGTCCTGGTCTCAGCCCCGGTCTGGTCCCGGTCTAGTCTCAGTCTCAGTCCTGGTCTGGTCCTGGTCTCAGTTCTGGTCCTGGTCCCGGTCTCAATACTGGGATGATCCCAGTCTCAGTCCTGGTCTCAGTCCCGGTCCTGGTCCCGGACTTGGTTTGGTCCTGGTTCAGTCCGGCATCACAGTCACTGAAGTCACGTAAACGAGAAACGTCCATTATCTGTTTTTTCCATTTTTCATTTAAACACAAAATCGAAAACTGAAAAAAATAAATAAAATCATTGTCAGTTTTTTCATTTTGGTTTTGGAGCCAAATAATGAAGAAAATAGTTGTTTTTTTTTCATTTTCTTATTTTTGGTTTTATTTTGAAAAACAAAATGAACGATCGATTGGCAGTGAAAAGTGGTATTTAGTGATTTCTTACGATAAAATGGCGGAGAGGGAGAAGAGCTCGGCCGTCAGATAGGCCAGATACACGAGGAGGAAGACGAAGAGCGGCTCGATGATCCGAACCTTTTTAGTGAATCTGGTGATGAAGCCGAGGATCACGGCAAAAAACAGACCCACGAGAGTCCCACCGATACTCACGATCAGGAACGACGCTGACGGACGGAGGGAGAGAGGAGAGGAGAGGAGAGGGGGAGAAGGAGGGAGAGAGAGGAGAAGGGAGAAAGGAAAAGGAAGCGAGGAAGGAGGAGAGAGGGAGAGAAGAAAGGAGATAAAGGAGGGTAGGAGAAGAGAGGAGAGGAGAAGAAAGGGACAGAGAAAGAGGAGGGAGAGAGGAGAGGGAGAGGGAAGGGAGAGAGAGAGGAAGAGGAGGAGAAGAAGGAGACAGAAAGAGAGAGAGAGGGGAGGGAGGAAGGAAGGAGAGATAGAGAGGGAGAGAGGAAAGGGAAGAGAGGAAGGAGGGAGATGGGGAGAAGAATGGAGAGGGGAGGGAGGGAGAGAGAGGAAAGGGAAGAGAGGAAGGAGGGAGAAGAGAGAGAGGGAGAGAAGAAGGAGAGAGGACCGAGAGAGGGAGAGAAGGAGGGAGAGAAAAGGGAAGAGAAGAAGATAAAGGAGGGTAGGAGAAGAGAGGAGAGGAGAAGAAAGGGACAGAGAAAGAGGAGGGAGAGAGAGAGGGAGAGAAGGAGGGAGAGGGAAGGGAGAGAGAGGGAGCGAGAGAGGGAGAGCAGGAGAAGAAGGAGACAGAAAGAGAGAAGGAGGGAGGGAGGGAAGGAGAGATAGAGAGGGAGAGAGGAAAGGGAAGAGAGGAAGGAGGGGAGAGGGGGAGAAGAACGGAGAGGGGAGGGAGGGAGAGAGAGGAAAGGGAAAAGAGGAGGAGAAGAAGGAGAGACAGAGAGAGAGAGAGAGAGAGTAGGACATAGAGGGGGAGAAGGAAAGAAACAGAGAGAAGGAGAGAGGAAGGCAGGAGAGAGGAAAGGGAAGAGAGGAAGGAGGGAGAAGAGAGAGAGGGAGAGAAGGAGGGAGAGAAAAGGGAAGAGAAGGAGATAAAGGAGGGTAGGAGAAGAGAGGAGAGGAGAAGAAAGGGACAGAGAAAGAGGAGGGAGAGAAGGAGGGAGAGGGAAGGGAGAGAGAGGGAGCGAGAGAGGGAGAGGAGGAGAAGAAGGAGACAGAAAGAGAGAGAGAGAAGGAGGGAGGGAGGGAGGGAAGGAGAGATAGAGAGGGAGAGAGGAAAGGGAAGAGAGGGAAAAGAAGGAAGGAGAGACGGAGAGAGGAAAGAGAAGAGAGGATGGAGGGGAGGGGGAGAAGAAGGAGAGAGAGTGAGAGAGAGAGGGAGGGATGGAGAGGTGAGGGAGGGAGGGAGGGAGAGAGGAGGGTAGGAGAGAGGAAAGGGAAGAGAGGAAGGAGGGAGAAGAGGAAGAGAAGGAAGAAGGAGAGAGGACCGAGAGGGGGAGAAGAAGGAGGGAGAGAAAGGGGAGAGAAGGAGGGAGAGGGGAGAGAGAGAGAGAGAGAGAGAGAGAGAAGAAAGAGGGAGAGCGGGGGAAGAGGGAGAAAGAGAGAGAGGGGAGGGATAGAGAGAGAGGAAAGGGAAGAGAGGAAGGAGAAGGGTGAGGAGACAAGAGAGAGAAAGAGAGAGGGAAGGGGAGAGTGAGAGATGGAGTAAGGGAGAGAAGGATTGGCGAGAGACGGAGAAAGGAGGGAGGGAGAAGGGGAGAGAGAGAGAGAGAGAAAGAGTTGGGAGTTGGAAAGGGGGAGGAGAGAGGGGAAGAGAGGGAGAGGAGGAGGGAGAAAGACAGGGAAAGAAACAAGGAACAAGGAGAGAGGGGGAGAGAAGAGAGACGGAGGGAAAAAAAGAGAACACAGGATGGGAAAGTGGAAGAGGAGAGGAAGAGGAAGTGGAAAAGAGGGAGAAGAAGATAAAAGAGGAGTGAGGGAGAGAATGAGAATAAGTTTTAAAGCCATCGTCTGTGCACAGAATCCACAATTTTCAGAAACTTTCTTGATCGTTACGGTGCAATTTTTAACAAAGAATAAACTGTTTTCAATTTAAAATAAAGTCATGCTTTAGAAAATAAGGTAAATAAAAACTAACTTTGACTAAATATGTACAAAATAAACAGAACGAACAGAACAACAACGCAAAAGGACGAGGCTGAAGGGAGGAACAAAAACGCATATTCATTATATTTAGATCAGGCATGTCCAAACTACGGCCCGTGGGCCAAATGCGGCCCTCGAACAAATTTTTCTTGGCCCTCGGGCTTCCAGGTGATTTGGCCCAAATTACCTTGCATCAATTAAAAATGAACTTTTTACAGCGAGTTTTTTTTTTTAAATCTACTTTGATAAAGCCAATATTGAAGATTTAATGTGTGGTTTTGGGGATTTTAGAGTGAATAAGAACTGATGGCTCATTCCAAAGTGTTAAACATGCACATATTTTAATTTTTCACTGTATTGAGCACCAGTCTCCGGCCCTCGATCGTCCCTCTGCTTCATCTGTGTTTAGAAATGTGGCCCTTGATGAAAAAAGTTTGGACACCCCTGATTTAGAGGAACTTTTTGAGATTTTGGAAAATCTTTACTATTTTTATTATTTTTTTTTCTAGTATAAGATAATCCTGTTAATTCAAAAGAAGATAGAGAACAATCCCGTACATTGTCTTACTTGCAAAATGTGAGATTTATTAGGACATACAACATTTCAGGTAAAAAAAATAAAAGAAAAAAAGTATGTATGTCCTAATAAATAAACTCACATTTTGCAAGAAAAACGGAGAGCGGGATTTGTTCTCTCTGCTCCCTCTCGTCCGATCCACTCATTCTTCTAATTCAGTAAGAAAAAAAATAAAAAATTCAGAATGTAGGGTTCAAAAAAGGTTCTTGTGTTTCTTACCAACGCCTTTGAAGTAATCCGCGGTCTGAACGTTCTTCGGTCCCACCTCCACGAACGAGATGTAGACTTTGTACAAAACCTGAAAGAAAAACAACACAACAAAACACAGATAAAATATAAAACTCATGTCCACAAGCCTCAACAAAACTCATCTGAGGAAATCAAGGAAATTATTTGAGTAAATTTGAACAGAACGACATAACTTTACCAGTGGAGGGTCTGATAACGCTGTGAATTCTTTGCATTCGTTCACATTTATTTGCTTTGAAAACATTCTTAAAGTTCCTATATTACGCAAAATTGACTCTTGTGAGCTTTAAGTCGTGTTAGAATCCTGTTACCTCCTCAGAAACAAACCTGGAGCTGTGTTTTGTTTCATTCACACGTGCTGTCTGCATTCCCCAAAGCTCAAAATGCACTGTTCCACTTCATGTAGTTGTTTTCCAGTTAACAGTTTTTACTTTTAGCTCAGTAGAGTTTGGAAATTCCAGATCTGAAATTATCCAAATGATTCTAGTGAAGGTGTAATGGTACGGAAGCCGAGAGGGGTCACAACAAACGCAAACGCCGCAACAAATACAAATGCGACAACACAACAAAAAAATCCAGAACGGAAATGACCGCGGGACTCTATTTTAATGTAGGGCTGGGCCATATGGATCAAAAAATATATCTCGATATATTTTGCTATATCTCGATATACGATATATATCTCGATATATGTTCAAGAAAAAATAACCCCCTAAAACTGAAAACTGCAAAAACAAATCTGCCAAATTCCACAAGGTCTTTTTTTTTTTTATTGAAGTGTAAGAGGTCGACAGTTCATATAGGAACATTTAAGATGACAAAAAACCCTAATTACATAAATAATTTAACCGTAAAATAAAAGAAATAATACATATTTCCTTCTTTTCATTCATAAATAAAACAACTCAACACAAGCTCATCTTTGTATTAACTCTGTTATCCAGACCAGAACCAGAACCATGAGCTCATTTAGCAGAAGAAAAGCTCAGGATGTTCCTTATTTTCAATAGATCCATGTTCCAGCAGTGAGGAGCTCTGAGGTTTAATCCCACAATCCACTGCAGATCAAACCCAACGTTTCCAAACACAATTGTACAAGTGACACCTGCAGCAGATTATTAAATAAAATATTCTGCATAAATAAACTTTACAATATATAAAGCATAACGACTCTAGAGCCACATCAGCCCGTTTGAGATAATAATGTGTTTAATGCAGTTTTGCGCACGTGTGTTTACATTTTACAGAAACAAAACTTAAGCGCATGGCTCATTTGCTTCTTTCAGGCTAAAGGACGCGACTCGGTGGAATATGAGATGTTCTGCTGGTGGTTTTGTCTGTAAATGGTGGAAAAGGTTCGTGGTGCTTGAAGCTTTTCACTGGCACCAACTTCACGGTGATAGTGACGAGTGAAGGAGACACGAGCGAACAAAATCAGGGAGGCGGAGGCGACGAGAGAGAAGATAAACAAGCGAAGCGGCGAAATCTATATTGAATATAAGCATTATATCGATATATACGATATGTCAGAATTCATATCGAGTTTAAAAACCACCCCTATTTTAATGCAAACACTGCAACAAATACAAACGCCACAACACAAACGCAAAAGCCGCAACACATTAAAAAGCCACAACGGAAGTGACCGCAGAACTCTATTTTTCGACAGACCGATCAAGCGGCAAGTGAAGAAGAAGAACTACAACTTGAAAAGTAAAGGAACGGAGAAGTTGGAAACGTAAGTAAAAGTAATGTTTTATCATTATTCGTTTCACAGTCGCACCAGCCAAAACATGCGTAATGAAGAAGAAAAAGCATATATAAGTCGCACTTTTTGGGGAAATGTATTTTATAAAATCAAAGACCAGGAACTGATCTTTCACCTTTAAAGGCAAATTATAGTAATAACAATAGAATAACTGTTAATATGTTAATGTAACATATTAACAGTTATTCAGATAACTATAGCATAAACAACAGAACATAAGTTGTCCCAAGACAAATTTCTCCCATGGGAGACAATAAAAAATTATCTTAGATCTTAAACTCTCACTCCAAATCACTAAATCCACTGAATTTTTCATCCTCAGTGTCACTTCTGCACCTCCGGAGATAAACCATAGATCCATGAGGTAAACAGAGCGCCACTTCTTCTTCTGTGTCGCTGTCGTCAGATTCAACATCAGTTCCAGTTAGAATTATTCTGGCCTTTCTGAATCAGGATGGTTTCAGTGCCATTGAAGTTCAGGCTTTGTCGATTCATCCAGTGACTTCAGGAAAGTTTCATGGTGCACCCTCCCTGTTACCGTGAAACTGTGTTCTCCATCCCTGCTTTCCGCCAGCCAATCGCAAGTTTCTCGCTCAATCCAAACTCTCTTTCTGCTGCTTGATTACAGTTTTCGGCTGAATATTTCACTGTTTGCAGCAGGACAGAGGCTTTTTCTGCAGGAGACATGCGCAGTAGAGTGAAGTGACGGTGGTACAGGGGTAATAGTAGAACTAGATACTGACACACAAGACTAGAGCCTCTCGTGGCTGTCACTGTGAACATTTTAATATACAAGTCGCACCGGAGTATAATATAAGTCGCAATTAAACACCCAAACCATGAAAAAAGTGAGACTTATAGTCCAAAAAATACGGTAAGTATGAAGTGGCCTTTACTGGTCGCAGGTTTGACTCTCCACAGATTAGACCTGTAACTTGGCCTGCAGTACTGTGGAACATTCCAGAAAAAAACTATTAACATCTTCATAAAGACAAATAGGTGGCATAAAAGTCCCATAGTTCATGTTTAACTAGAGCTCTGTGCGTTTTCGATGGAGGTTTGTGCACGAATAAAACCCGATCAAACCAAACCCAGGCACGTTACGGTTAATCGAAATAGTTTTCTGTTTACAGCCAAAGAAAACATGTCACATTTTTAATCTGAATCAAAAGGTCGACAGGCTCAAGCTAAACTATGTCAGTTAGTTTGTGAAAGCAGTGATTTTATAAGAGGCTTAGAGGCAGGTGACCCCAGCCTCAAACATACACAGACCTTAATGAAAACAGAACAGGAGCACGGCTTTCTCTGTAAACAAAACACGGATCAAATACTTTCTTCTTTTCACAGTAACTTATTAAAAAGGTTTGTTCAGGTATAATTACATCTCCTGAATAAAAGACAGAAACATCTAAGACTTTGATTTCATTTCCTGCTGAATATAAAAAAAAAAAAATTACAAAAAGTTATATTTTGTGCAGAGGTGGAAATATCCAATCCAATTCAAAACAGTTTCCAAAGTGCTTCACATAGTACTGCAACATATTACTTTAAAAAGAAAAAATAATAATTTAATAAAGACACTAATAGAAAAAAAAAACAAAAAAACAATAAAATCAATTAACAAAAATAATAAAGTCAATACATAAAAGCAGTACTAAAAAATAAAATAGATAAAAACAATAAATAAATAAATTAATTAAATAATAATAAAATCAATTAACAAAAATAATAAAATCAATAGATAAATGCGGTGCTAAAAACTAAAATAGATAAAAACAATAAATAAATAAATAAATAAAATAATAATAAAATCAATTAACAAAAATAATAAAATCAATAGATAAATGCAGTGCTAAAAAATAAAATAGATAAAAACAATAAATAAATAAATAAGTAAATAAAATAATAACAATAAAATCAATTAACAAAAATAATAAAATCAATACATAAATGCAGTACTAAAAAATAAAATAGATAAAAACAATAAATAAATAAATAAAATAATAACAATAAAATAATTTAACAAAAAGAATGAAATTAATATATAAATGCAGTACTCAAATTAAAATAGATTAAAAACAATAAATAAATAAATTAAATAATAATAAAATCAATTAACAAAAATAATAAAATCAATACATAAATGCGGTACTAAAAAAAAAAAGAAAGATAAAAACAATAAATAAATAAATAAATAAAATAAATAAATAAAATAAAAGACAGAGGGAAAAGTACAGAAATTTTTTAATAATTAAGTAGAAGTGTCTTTATTTTACTTAATTCCTATTAAAGTAAAAGTAAAGGTAAACATCTAAAAATCTACTTGAGTAAGAGTAAAAAAAGTACTTATTTTGAGTAAAAGTGACTTAGTTATTTTTAATTATTTGATGTAAAAAAAGGATGAGTCATAAATCTAATTCAACACAAGTTGTTTTAATCGACATTTACGTGATACAGAATTATACATTATTATACAAATTGCGCTGAATAACTAAAATTTGATTGATAAAGTGTCTGGTTTTTTTTTTTGTAAATATATAATTTTGATGCACTTATAACTAGATAATGGGTTATGTTTTAGAGACGTCTAACTGTACCTCATTTTCGTCTTACCGTGGCTCTTATATTTACAAAATTTGAGTGAGTGAGTTAAAGCCACGGCTCTGATCTGGACACAAAGCTGCAGATTAGATTAGATTAGCTCATTTTCTGAGTGCTGCGCAGGATTACACACTCCAGGTTAATCCACTTGCAATCTAACTGGGTGTAAAAATAGGCGCCACCGTTGGCCTTTTTATCATCTGCCAAAAATTAAATTAATAAAAATACTGCAGTTGGCCTTGTGTCTGATTCACCACAAGACCAAAATGTACACTGTGGAACTTTTCTTTTGCTTATCTTCTCCATCTAGATGTTATTGCTTTGCCTAGAAGGTTCCACAATATGACTTTTAACTTGCCTATCTCCATGGAGACAAGCAGACGACACAACCGGGGCAAGTTACGGGGCAGATCTGTGAAGAGGAGACCCCACTCACAGTGAAAATGAAAAAAATAATAACGTTCCAGTCTAGGTCCAAGTCTATCCCTAAATCTTACTTTAAGTCTAACTCTAAGTCTAATTCTAACTCTTACTCTAAGTCTAACTTTAACTCTATCTCTAAGTCTAAGTCTAACGCTTATTCTAAGTCTTCCTCTAACTAACTATAAGTCTAACTCTAACTAACTATAAGTCTAACTCTAAATCTAACTTTAAGTCTAAATCTAACTCTAAGCCTAACTCTAAGTCTTAGTTTTACTCTAAGTCTAAGAATTACTCGGAGTAAAACTTAGAGTTAGACTTAGAGTTAGTTAGAGTTAGACTTGGAGCTCAACTTAGATCTAGACTTAAAGTCTAAGTATTACTCTAAGTCTAAGTCGAGCTCTAAGTCTAACTCTAACTAACTCTAAGTCTAACTCTAACTCTAAGTCAAAGTTTTACTCTGAGTCGGCATATTACTCTAAGTCTAGGTCTAAGTCTAGCTCTACGTCTAACTCTAACTAAGTTTAACGCTAAGTCTAAATCTAACTCTAAGTTTAGCTCTAAGTCTAACTCTAACTAACTCTATGTTTAATTCTAACTCTAAATCTAACCCTCAGTCTATCCCTAAGTCTATCTCTAACTCTAAATCTAAGTCTAACTCTAGCTCTAGATCTAAGTCTAAGTCTATGTCTAACTCTAACTCTGTTTAACGCTAAGTCTAAATCTAACTCTAAGTTTAGCTCTAAGTCTAACTCTAACTAACTCTATGTTTAATTCTAACTCTCAATCTAACTCTCAGTCTATCCCTAAGTCTATCTCTAACTCTAAATCTAAGTCTAACTCTAGCTCTAGATCTAAGTCTAAGTCTATGTCTAACTCTAACTCTATGTCTAAGTCTAAGTCTAGCTCTAAGTCTGTTATTTTGCAGTACATGTTTTTTGATGCAGCTGTTTTCATGTTCTCTGTTCTCTGAGTCATAATTAGATCTTTCCTAAATGATTCATCTCTTCTTCTTCTTCTTCTGCTGCTCTGTCTGCTAACCTGGCCTTTATCTGCCCTTTTACGACCCCGTCTGGTTGCTGTGGAAACACTTCCTGCCCGAGCGTGCGGCGCGGTCACGTGACCCGCGCGCTCCTCACCACGGTGACGGCGTCGTTGACCAGAGACTCTCCGAAGACGATGATGAAGAGGGTGTCGTTCACGTGCACTTCCTCGAAAACCGCCAGCACGGCCACGGGGTCCACGGCCGAGATCAGAGCGCCGAACAACAGGAAGTCCATCAGATCGGCCTGGACCTTCTCATCTGTCATTAACAAAACAAAAAAAAAGGGAGGGGAGACAGAAGAATGAAGAGTCACACGTTTAAATCATTTCATTTTGTCAACATAAAAAGTTTTGTCTTTCTTAAATTTACTCACAAAGAGAAGAGAGAAAAAAACTTTTACTCAAGAGAGAGTTGAACCCTGAGGAAGAGAGGAGGAGGAGGGAGGAGAGGAAGGGAAGAGGAGAGGAGAGAGTAGGAGAGAGGAGAGAAAACGAGGAGGAGGGAGGGAAGAGCGAAGAGGAAGAGAGAGAGGAGGAGAGGAGAGGAGGAGAGGAAGAAGAGAGGAGAGGAGAGGAAGAGAGGAGGAGGAGGGAGGAGAGGAGGAGGGGAAAAGAGAGAGGAGGGAGGAGAGGAGGAGGGAGGAGAGGAAGAAAGGAGAGAAGAAGAGAGAGAGGAGGGAGGGAAGAAACGAGGAGGAAGGAGAGGAAGAGAGACAGTAGAGAAGAGAAGAGGAGGGAGGAGAGAAGAGAGACAGTAGAGAAGAGAAGAGGAGGGAGGAGAGGAAGAGACGAGTAGTGAGGGAAGAGAGGCAAGGATATTTGAAGTTACTCATTAATTTTTAAAAAAAGGAGGAGGGAGGGAAGAGAGGAGGAGAGGAAGAGAGAAAGGTGAATATCAAAGAGACAAGCCTCCATGTAGCTGCACATGTAGTGGCAGAATGTAAACACACACAAATTGTACAAACTCACTCGTACACAGCCCTGCACCGAACTAAACGCCTCATACCAAAAAGGTTCGGCAAGAATACAGATACTGTTACACCCCTGAACAAAACCAAAGGTTAGTTGGAGGTCCTCCTATGAATGACTCCTATGCACTTTCAGTCATGTTCTAATGATGTTACCTCCTCTAAAACAGACCTGGAGTTGTGTTTTGTTTCATTCACACATGTTTGAGTCTCACTTTATTATTAGTCTGTCTACATCTTCAAAACCCCGTTTACACTGAAACGAATCCGCGTATCACCATATCACCGTATCAGAAATGATCTGCGTCCAGACACGTCGTTTCTGTGTCCGCAATCCTTCCCTATCCACACAGTTTTGAGCATATTTGTTTACGTTTTAAAGAAACGAAACTTTTTTTTAAAAGTGTTCTTCCTGTGACAGAGGGGTGTTCTGCTGATGGTGAGTCTGTTCTGTGCTTCTGTCATGTTCAGGATGGTTCATGTTAAACTTTTCAGAGATTATACATCGTACACACAGACCGTTTATATGAATGGACATATATTCTAGCCTCTTAGCATTTTGGCAGTGAATTAATTCACAGCCCACAGACCTACATCAGAGTATCAGCGTTTTCAGGAGTCCACACGGTGCTGGATCAGATCTTCACTCAGATGAATTCATGGGAGCTGGCGGCACCAGATCGTTCCGTTTCTGGAGTCGTTTTCCATCGGATTAGTGTGGGCGAACACTGCATCCACAACGAAAACGACTCAAATACGTACAAGTGTGGATGGTGCCCAAAGCTCAAATGCTCGGCTCCACCTTGTGATGTCATGTAGTGTGACATTGTGTACATTTTACCTTTAGTTCAGTAGAGGTCGGCAATTCCAGAGCTGAAATTATCCAAATGATTCAAGTGAAGATGTAAAGAGTTTAAAATACAGTGGAGCACTTCCTGTATCACCACATGACATCACAGGGTGGAATGGAGTGTTTTCAGTTTGAGAGAAGAACTCAGCCAATATATGCAGGATTTGTGTCTTAAACGTGTGAATGAAACAAAACACAACTCAAGTACATTAGAAAATAGCGTAATATGTGCCCTTTAATAATAATCTTGAGTATTCTTTGTGTAACATTGAGTGAACGGACTGACCTATGACATTGAGCACTTTGGCGGCGTACAGAGAGAATCCGGTGCAGAAGGCGTTCCACAGAGTCCCGACCACGGCGTACGTCAAAATGGCGCCCAGATTATCGAAGAAGAGTCTGGCGGGCATGAAGTACCCGGCATCCCCCACTATGGTCGGCAGCAGGAAGAGGAAGAAGAGGGCGGGTTCTAACTGGTACAGCTGCTTCTTATTGGCGATGAGCACGATCCCGCCCAACACCAGACCCAGCAGGATCAGCATGCAGCTCTCCGGGACCACGGTGGTGAAGCGCTGGGAGAAGTGGAAAACTGCAAGGAAAAAAAGGAGAACATGTTAAGTATTTGTGAATAGGCAGGATACGTCACTACAGAGAAATACTGCGATAAACGATAATATTGAAACTACTTAAAAGCACTGACACAATAAAAATAAATCTGAATCCCAGTAAGTAGTGGGACAACAGAAGCTCTGTTAGTGTTTGTGCAATGATCCACAGGTTGGAGGTTCAAATTCTGCTCTTGACATGAACATCATTGATGGAGAGGTCAGATCCAGTGACCCGCAGGTTGGCTCCTACAGATGAATGCTGTCATTGTGTCCTTGGGCAACACACTGAACCCCCCTCGTCCCCAGTGTCTGTGTACACTGGTGTGTGAATGTGTGTGAATGGGTGACTGGTCTTGATGTAAAGAGCTTTGAGCCTTGAAGGTGACTCAACATGAGTAAAATTATCTACTAATGCAGGAGTCATCAAACTAAGGCCCGCGGGCCGACTCTGGTCCTCCAGCCCCTCTGCCCCCACCACTTGGAACTGGCTCTATGAGGTAATACTCAAAAGTTGTCATGGTTTATATTTTTAAATGACTTTTTGGCAAATAATAACATGTCTGCATCTTGGATTTTGTTGATTTTTTTTCAATATATGTATATTTAAATTTTCGTCACATGACAAACTCGAGATCAGACAGTGACAGTCACTGTGCATGTGCAGAGTTCTGTAGTGCAGTTACGGACAGCAAGATGGTGAGTGTTAAAGTTCAAAAAGTTGATAGAAAGTGCAGTTTTCAAAGAAAAGTGAACGACTGATTATTTTTTTGTTCAGTGTAAATGGCTCCTGTGGCACAGTGGCTGAGTGGCTAGCACTCACAACAAGAAGGTTCTGGGTTCGATCCCCAGGTCGCCTGGGCTTTTTTGTGTGGAATTTGCATGTGTCTCCCTGTGTCTGGATGGGTTTCCTCTGGGTGCTCTGGTTTCCCCCATCAACCCAAAACATGCTACAGGTTTCCAGGAAGCACAGTTGATAGCCAAGGTCATTTACAATACACAATCAATCAATCAATCAATGAACCTGCTCAGGGACTACAGGGGGAAATTAGCACTGATGCTACAACCTGATGTACAAAGCATCTTTCCTGTTAAGGTTAATGTAAATATTGTGTGCTGTCCCTGTCTCAAATAAATAAATAACATAAATAATAAGGACCATGCAGTATCTCTGCTATGTAAAGAAAGTGTGGCACTTTCCAAAGAACATAATCTGCATCGTCAGGGTCGTACAATTCTATTATACGACCGACCCGACCCCGGCCTCCATCACAGTCAGGAGTGATAATGTGGCCCCCAGAGAAAAAAGTTTGGTGACCCCTGTACTAATGGAATAAGTGTGTGCAACCTTTGATTTTGTTTCTTATTTTAAGTGCAAAAAGTTGTTGTTTTTCTTATCTTCATTGTGGCAAGACGTATTTTCATATTTTAACGACAAAACGTCTTGTTCCACTGGCAGATCATTTTACTTGTCAAGTGAAATTTACTCAAATCATGATGAAACTTTCTTAATTCAACTCATCTTAACTTGGTTAGACTTTAGTTTTTGAACGAAAAGTCAATGTGGTAATTATTATGACAGGCGCACTTTTAAATACAACCAGGAAGATTAATTAAAACAGTATTTGGGAACATCTCAAAACAAATTATAATTCTGGCAACCGGAGAAACGTTTTGGAGTGAATAGATTTGGTTGATTTGATCTCCTCTTGAAAATTCTTTTATCAGTCAGAACAAAATCTACTCCTTTACCTCAAATAAATACAAACATACATACTTTATTTTGTTTTTATCGAACATGATGCAAACTGCCAATCATTTCTCTGATCTATTAAACCGTCTGCCAATCACTCTCATTGGAAATTTAGACTTAGACAAACTTTATTGATCCACAGTTAATATTATTTGGACACAGTAACTCACACATCACAATATAAAATAATAACAAAGAGTAAAAATATAAAGATTAGTTTAGTCCTGGTTTAGTCCTGATGTAGTTCTAGTTTAGTTTATGGTTAGTCCTGGTTTAGTCCTGGTTTAGTCTTAGTTTAATCCTGGTTTAGTTCTGGTTTAGACCTGATGCAGTCCTGGTTTAGTCTTAGTTTAGTTTTGGTTTAGTCTTTGTTTAGTCCTGGTTTAGTATTAGTGTAGTCCTGGTTTAGACCTGGTTTAATCTTAGTTTAGTCCTGGTTTAGTTCTGGTTTAGACCTGATGTAGTCCTGGTTTAGTCTTAGTTTAGTCCTGGTTTAGTCTTAGTTTAGTCTTTGTTTAGTCCTGGTTTAGTCTTAGTTTAGTCCTGGTTTAGTCTTAGTTTAGTCTTAGTTTAGTCCTGGTTTAGTTCTGGTTTAGACCTGATGTAGTCCTGGTTTAGTCTTAGTTTAGTCCTGGTTTAGTCTTAGTTTAGTCTTTGTTTAGACCTGGTTTAGTCTTAGTTTAAATCCTGGTTTAGTCTTAGTTTAGTCCTGGTTTAGTCTTTGTTTAGTCCTGGTTTAGTCTTAGTGTAGTCCTGGTTTAGACCTGGTTTAGTCTTAGTTTAGTCTGGTTTAGTTTTGGTTTAGAATTAGTCCTGGTTTAGTCTTAGTTTAGTCCTGGTTTAGTCTTAGTTTAGTCTTAGTTTAGTCCTGGTTTAGTTCTGGTTTAGACCTGATGTAGTCCTGGTTTAGTCTTAGTTTAGTCCTGGTTTAGTCTTAGTGTAGTTCTGGTTTAGTCTTAGTTTATTCCTGGTTTAATCTTAGTTTAGTCCTGGTTTAGTTCTGGTTTAGACCTAATGTTGTCCTGGTTTAGTCCTGGTTTAGTCTTTGTTTAATCCTGCTTTAGTCTTAGTTTAGTCCTGGTTTAGTCTTAGTTTAGTCCTGGTTTAGTCTTAGTTTAGTCCTGGTTTAGTCTTAGTTTAGTCCTGGTTTAGTCTTTGTTTAGTCCTGGTTTAGTCCTTGTTTAGTCCTGGTTTAGTCTTAGTTTAGTCCTGGTTTAGTCTTTGTTTAGTCCTGGTTTAGTCTTTGTTTAGTCCTGGTTTAGTCTTAGTTTAGTCCTGGTTTAGTCTTTGTTTAGTCCTGGTTTAGACCTGGTTTAGTCTTAGTTTAGTCCTGGTTTAGTTCTGGTTTAGACCTAATGTTGTCCTGGTTTAGTCCTGGTTTAGTCTTTGTTTAGTCTTAGTTTAGACCTGGTTTAGTCTTTGTTTAGTCCTGGTTTAGTCCTGGTTTAAACTGACAGACAGATACAAGAATCTCATTTCTGAACAGGTTTGTACAGATTTTAACTTCAGGATGAGCAGGTTTTACGCAGAATAAAACTGGATATTTTGTCGTTTGTGGGGGAAATTACAGCACTTCAAACGATTTGCGATTTGCTATTGTGTCCTTTCAAACTGTGAAAAAAAAAAACAACAACACAAAACCCTCGTGTAAACACAAAAGACCAGACTTCACCCTGCTCGGTGTTAAATTACTTTATACGTTCGTCACACAGAGAGAAACGGGGTCAGAGCTTTGTGGTGTTTTCTGCAGGTGCGAGGAGCCGAGAAAAAAATGTGCAACTAAAAATATCAGTCGCAGGTACAGTACACAGAAAAAATGAGCTTTAAAGGCGCATTGTGGAACTTTTCTGGTGTTACAATGAGTTTAAGAGAAAATTTTATTGCGATTTTTCTGGCAGTTATTGTGATTTTGGTTTTATCCACGATTTTTTTTTTTTCAAATCAAGTTTCAGTGCACGTGAACATTTGCAAATATTATGATTTAGTCCTGGTTTAGACCTGATGTAGTCTTGGTTTAGTCTTAGTTTAGTCCTGGTGAAGACCTGATTTAGTCCTGGTTTAGTCTTCGCTTAGTCCTGTTTATTCTGGTTTAGACCTGATGTAGTCCTGGTTTAGTTCTAGTTTAGACCTGATGTAGTCCTGTTTTAGTCTTAATTTAGTCCTGGTTCAGTCTTGATGTTGACCTGGTTTAGTCTTAGCTTAGTCCTGGTTTAGTTCTGATTTAGACCTGATGTAGTCCTGGTTTAGTCTTAGTTTAGTCCTGGTTTAGACCTGCTGTAGTCCTGGTTTAGTCTTAGTTAAGTCCCGGTTTAGACCTGATGTAGTCCTGGTTTAGTCTTAGTTTAGTCCTGGTGTAGTTCTGGTTTAGACCTGATGTAGTCCTTGTTTAATCTTAGTTTAGTCTTGATTTAGTCCTGATTTAGTCCTGGTTTAGTCCTGGTTTAGACCTGATGTTGCCCTGGTTTAGTCTTAGTTTAGTTCTAGTTTAGACCTGATGTAGTCCTGGTTTAATCAATCCTGATTTAGACCTGATGTAGTTCAGGTTTAGTCTTAGTTTAGTCCTGGTTTAGACCTGGTTTAGTCCTGGTTTAGTCTTAGTTTAATCCTGGTTTAGTCTTGGTTTAGTCCTGGTTTAGTCTTAGTTTAGTTCTGGTTTAGACCTGATGTAGTCCTGGTTTAGTCCAGATTTAGACCCAGTGTAGTTCTGGTTTAGTCCTGGTTTAGTCTTAGTTTAATCCTGGTTTAGACCTGATGTTTTCCTAGTTTACTCTTAGTTTAGTCCTGGTTTAAGTCTTAGTTAGGACTGATACAGTTCTGGTTTAGTCTTAGTTTAGACCTGGTTTAGTCCTGGTTTAGACCTGAAGTAGTCCTGGTTTAGTCTTAGTTTAGTCTTAGTTAAGTCCTGGTTTAGACCTAATGTAGTCCTGGTTTAGGCTTAGTTTAGTCCTGGTGTAGTTCTGGTTTAGACCTGATGTAGTCCTGGTTTAATCTTAGTTTAGTCTTGATTTAGTCCTGGTTTAGACCTGATGTTCCCTGGTTTAGTCTTAGTTTAGTTCTAGTTTAGACCTGGTTTAGTCCTGGTTTAATCTTAGTTTAATCCTGGTTTAGTCTTCGTTTAGTCCTGTTTTAGTCTTAGTTTAGTTCTGGTTTAGACCTGATGTAGTCCTGGTTTAGTCCAGATTTAGACCCAATGTAGTTCTGGTTTAGTCCTGGTTTAATCTTAGTTTAATC